GTGAGACTCTGCTCAGTCACAGTGAAGCTTCCCCTGCAGTCTGGAGGCAGCAATGTGACAGTGTTGTATCAGTGTCACTGAGAGCAATCATAACATTCCTTTCCTCCGAGTCCAAAGGTTGTTTTAAATTCCCTTGGCAGTAGATTGCTTTAGGGGGTCAAACACACCAAATCTCAGAACAATAACAGGCCAACTATCAGTTACATCACTCACCTGTAATCATTGGCCGGCATTAAAAGCATCTTTTTTTCTGTTCTGCATACTTGACTGTGAATGCTTTTGAAATGAGGATAATGTAATCTGTGCCGCAGATATCTTCTGCTTTTGTGCATCTATCCAAGAAGTGAATGGTTAGGCCTATCAGTTACTCTCTGGAGGTGGTGTATACGCTCTCTAGCACAATGCTACAAACAGATGAAGGCTATAATATGCTGCACATTCCTGCTATCTCCATTTTCAGGGTTATTTTGTTTTGTTTTGGAAATACATTTTAGGTGCTGCCAACTTTTGTTTTTCTAGGAGAAGAGGTAGAAGCTTATTTTCTTAATCACACTTAACTCACTTTAAGAAAGAACATTCACCAAGTGCTCTGGCAGCAGCCTCAAGATAACTGAACAGTTAAGGTGTCTTCCAAGAGGAACAGCAAATAGTGAAATATAAAACCTGATGGGTCACAACTACAATGTCTGCAAATAAACCGAACAAAATGCATAGTTAGCATGGCTTTGCTTCTTGTCTTTTACAAATCAGCGTAATCAATAAAGTTGTAGTAAACCCATGGTGTAACAACAGAAAGTCGTGTTAGAGTAACTGATGGGAGTCATGAGACATAAAATTTCCATTACAAGATATATCATTTTGACATTATCTTCAAGATTTAAAAGTTTTTATTCTCTGACCGTGATGTGCGTCAGATTATCCACCTGGCTGTCTATCTGTATTACCCTTCATTTTCACACTGACAGTTTGAAGAATAAAGACACAGGGTTTAAATACATCTCCCCACTGAAATTCTTCACCAGATGTGCCACAGATAGTGTCAGTCAACTTTACTATGTATTTATTGAAAAAAAAGGAATGATCTATACAGATTATGATTTAACATCAGCTTTGCGGTTAAGTTTAACTCTCTTTTTCCAAACTTTCTTTAATTATTACATTTCCTTGGGAAAAGAGACCCATAAAATACCTTTAAATGTTAAATTAGAGAGAAATATAAAACAATGGGACTACAAGTTTACATGTACTAAGCAGAGGAAGAAGCCATTTGAATAATTATAGAGGGACATGAAATGGGCCAGTTATTATTCTTTGTTCCACTTTATCAGGCATCTCCAGCATTGTCCATTGGGAGTTAACTTTTAGACTGTTTACTGGCTCAAAGGCCAGGCATGCATCTGAAGCCACATAGGCAAGATAATGTATCCCAGGCTACAAAAGCAGGCAAATCACTGTGCATTAAGACTGGGCACACAATAGACAACAATGGCTTGCATAAACACTATTTAGAACTATTCACATGGCATTGAAGAGATGGGCGTCGACTCACTATTGCTGCAAAGCCGGCGCATTGTGCGGAGGTGAAAAGAAGTCTAATGAACAGGAAGCCTTATTTGAGGGAGCTGACAGTAACCATACAACAGCCGCATTGTGCGCTTGCCACCAACCCTGTGGGTCTCTACATTAGGAGAAATGATGAGAAAGTAACCCGAAAAGACACAGTGGGCCCTTGGACCCACGTAAATGCAACCAGACAATAATGGGGGACACAGGCTGTCCCCACCTTTACCCAAAGCTGCACGTTTACATGCACAGAACATCAACCGCTCTCATGGCCAAGGATAAAAGCCCCCTGGCCAGATGGAACTTTGAAGTACATTTGGGTTAGTTTACCACCAAAGACTGCAATTTTAGCGCAGCAGCAGTTAAAATATATGTCATACATTTTAAATTATATCAAACTCTCCAGGGGAAAGTTAGAAACTCTTGAGTTTGGTGCACTAGGCCTCCTCCTCCTCCTCAAACGCACACTCGCACGCACGCGCGCACACACACACACACACACACACCTTCACACTCAACATTATGCCCCCTGCCTCAAGCTTCATCAATCTTCTACAAAGGGATGACATCACCAATAAGCATAGCCTTTTATACCTTTAAGCAATAAGCCTTATTTACTGATGAGATAAGCCCTCAGCTATTGTCTAGCCCTCCACTTTTCTTCTTTCTCTCGCAGTTGAAGAATCAAACAGCACTTTTGGAAGGTGACAGAGCATGCCCGGGATTTAAGGCTAAACATGCAAAGAGCTTTCCTATTTGGTGGCCTTTCAAAGGGCCACATTAGCCCATTTAGTTCAAAGCAGTAGGGACAGGTAAAAAAACAAAAAACAGGCACTTTGTCCATTTTTTTTTAAAGTTTTGTTTTCAATAAATGAGAGGTTACTATTGAGGATTGCAAAACAATTAATATATATAGATTATCTTGTGTCACTTTCTGTGCAAATGTGTATTAAAAACTTAAAAACTTGAGTGAAACTATCCACCGAATGTAAAACATACTCACACACAGTTTAAAAAACAAACCACAGCCTGGAGAGTTTACAAACCATAATCATCCATTACATGCGTGACCTATAATTACTGTTTGTAGCAGTATTAGTCGGCCAGTTCAGGGTGGTCACTAAACTGCTGAGGCACCATGATACAGTGTGGCTTATCAAACTTCACGTGTGCAAGCTTGGAAGAACTACTTGCCATTAATGATGATGCAAAAAGAGAAACTGCCAGTTTTCAGCCTTCTAATAAGTTGGAAACAACATTTGGTAGTTCTCATTTTTCTACTTTCACAAAGTCTGTCACAGGAAAAACTAGGTCTAACTAGGTTGTTGCGGCAATCTAGAAAATATAGCATCAACGAATTGAGAACCTATTTTTACCAAGATAAAAAGCCATTTTCTAACACACTACATCCAGTGTCACCACATGTATCTTAAAAACGTGCCATTTGGTGTTTGTTTTTCTTAGCACTACACAGAGTCATGTCAGGTCTTGGGAACTTGTCAGATATTCAGTTTGTAGTCACTTTAGAAAGGCTGAGCGCAGAGTCTCTGGGGAATCGCTCCAGTCTCCCCATCTCCCCCACCCCATGTCACCAGCCAGGAACAAAGCCGCCATAGTCAATTCTCCTAATTTCACTGCAGCCTGTCGAAATCCTGTTCTCCTTTTCTCCTACTCTTCAACAAGTACTTTATGCCGGGATCAGTCAGGTCTGAGTCGTCCACAAAAACCTGAGGCTCTCGCTTCATCGTCTTTCAGCACCGAGTCTGACACTCCCCAACTCCCTGCCATTCAGGCGCCTGCACCATGCAATTTGTTTCCATTTGTCAAACAGCAGTATCCATCACAAAAGAAAATGCTGGCATAACAGAAAGTTTGTGAAAAAACATTGTTTCCTCAACCCAAAATGGCCTTCAGACTACTTGTTTATTGGCCCATAACAAAACAACCTTAAACAATTTACACCACTTTCAGCTGTTATAGATACTTGTTACATTATTCGTCTCTCAACTGACAATAAAACATCTTTAACTGCATAAAACATGCATCACATCCTCAAATCAGCACCAACGTATCACTTCTCTCTCAAAGTGTGGATGGGCTAAATGCTACAGTGTGAATTCATCATTTCATTCACTGCCACCACATTGTGCTGATTCTTATTTTGTGTTTTATTTCTTTGGGATTAAACTTCATTGTGTAGACAAGCAGGTTTCTCAGACATTTATTTATTAAAGCTATATCAGCACTATGTTGATGGCATTGCTATTTGCACACCTATTCAGATATGTCTTAAAATGGTGCTATTATTGGGCAACGTAGGAAGGTATCTGGTTAATAATACTTATTGTGCAAACTTTGTTGTCACCATTCTTGTGTTGGCTGTTATCGAGGGAAGAGCAGAGAGGATATGTGCTGACTCTGATGTAGATAGTGCCATGAGTATTCCTATTGTGGCAGCTGCCGTGTGGTGCAGTCCCTGATAGGGTTTCGAATGCTGTCAATGCTGTGTCAGGTGCATTAGCACCTCAGAGACCCATGATGCTCCAGCTGCTATGTGCCTGTGTCTCCCTGGGCCCTGGCCGCCAGCCTGACACCCGACACAAAGTAATCACAGATCACAGCGTTTAATCACTGAAACAAGCACTCCAGAGGACCCCACTGTCAATATCCCACTCTCTCATTATCTGTTTGGATTGCACATCCACACTGTCAGATAAACAGAGTGGAAAATTAAGATTAAAAATATGGTAATTTCATTTCAGGCAGCAGGCTCCTCTCACTGGCCCATTATGCTATTGATTACCTCTGAATTCAATTTCTCTTTTCAATGTAAACTTTAATCTATTCGCAAGCCAACAATTCAACTCCCAAGGGGCTATTTGAGAGTAAGTAACCATTTAATATGACACTGGCTGAAGATTCACTGGCTTTAATGAATTGTGTAAATCACTCAGCTCTTAAAGGAACTGATGTCCAAATCTGGGCCTGGTTAAATAGTGCCTTTTATACCAAGCTAAGTGTTTACCGACAGCCATCTTTGAATGTGTAATCACCGTCTCTGCTCTTGTCTGTATGAAGGCATATTAAACTGCTCTTTTCTAATTGCACTGGGGATGACAAAATTACATTTTAATTGGGACTTAATCGTGATATTGCACTGCCGACATGTTAAAATAACAAGAGCAAATAGCTACACCACTTTACCACCATGAAACTTGACTCACTTTACTCACCAAAATAATCACTAGGTTGTTTTCTTTAACCACTTACCAATTTGTCGCATCTTGGTTAAGACTAGTTGTAACCACTGACCTGAAGCAAACACACCATTCAGACATCTGAATATAGGATGAGCAACAGTGGGAAATGGTTGGTGACTCAGTGTAACATAAGACAAGACAATGTTTCAAACGCAAAATGAAGACAGTACTAACACACTCGATCAATACTGTTTTATTGTATGTTATTTGAATTTCATTTGCTGTAAATTATAAGTGATCATTTGTATCACCTATTTATGCCTAAACAACTACTAAGTGCATACTCCATGAAATATTACCTTTAACAAAACTGTTATAAACCCATACACAAAGACATATAAAATACTGTAAATGGTTACATAGCTATAAATAGTCATTCTAAATTTAATATTATTGCCAAAGTAAAAAGTGCTACTTTTCAAAGTAATAACAGCCCATTTATCTAAACAGTAAAGAGAGAAAGTTGATATTACACTGGAAAACACTGTTCAGAGGCCATAAACTTTAAACTTCTGTCCCATGTTTCTTGGTGTTAGTCACCGCCGGTACATGGCCTGACACATTTAAACTTTACTGTTGTTTCCTGACAAGAGCTGAGGTAGACATAAAACCACTATCATCAAAGTGCTAGAAGACTACTCAATGAAAACAGTGCAATTACAAAAAAAAATAAATAAATCAATAGTCTGATTAAGGCACAATAATTACTGAAAGCGCTGGTGTCTGCTCTCAGGTTCTCCTTGTCTTTTCAAGCATTTTCCAAATAATAAAAAGACCACAGTCCTACAAAACAATGTTTGCCTTAAGAGAATAATTTAAGCCACCAATAATTTATTGCACCAGGATTAACACATCTGAGCACCCGTGCAGGATTGAAGCTACCCAAGAGGCCGGAACACACATACATAATCATAGCAGGGTGTAATCAATAAACAGCCATGCAGTAATATGTTGTCAATAAAGGCACATCCTGCCTCAGATACTTGCCTCTTTTCTGTTCCAGACCAAAGCACTATCACTATCCAAGGCAGTACATACTATGCTAGGGGCCTGCTGGGAATCTAAAGACATTTTAATTCACAGTAAGGATTCTAAGTATATCTGGCAAAAGATTTGGTCAGTGATGGCAAACGTGAGGGCCACAGCGACTCTCCAAACTGTCAAAGAGACGTCTCAAAGATGACACAGATGTCCTTGGCACAGTGCACTTCTGTCACTCGCTTTTTGTTCATGTAAACCTGGAAGCGTATCAGGGAAGCAGTGTCACAGAATACAAGCACATAGTCCAATCTAAGCTACGATCTGTTAAGGTCTGATTTATGACAGATCCAGTCAGAGCTAGGTGAAGGGATTTGTCACCCGCTGAAGCATGCAAAAGTGGCTTATTTAAGCCTTATAAGCAACTGTGAAATTCAAGGGAAAAATGTATAATCACTGAAATGATTTGTTTAATTTAAGTTCATTTTTACCTGTGTGTCTGCTCAAAGTACCTACAAAATGCTTGATTTCTTAATACAAAGAGGCTCTGACAGACATACGATTTCAGTAGCAGAAAGTTGGTGAAAAAGAGGCAAAACAGGTGAAAACAGGTTGGCCTCAGAATGAAATATACTGTCTACTCTGGGATTCACTTTCAACATGGACAAAGGAGCTAGAGGTTGATATCAGATTATTGAATGTATTTAAACCTTGACTGACAACTATAGAAACTTGACACACAACATGTGGACCATCTCAGTATTTAATAAGTGGTGCTAGACAGTTATGGATGCTGCAGCAATCTGATCTAAGGAGAGCACCCTACAATAAAGAAAGGAAAACGTAAGGGCTTGAACAATGTCACTACCAATCCGCCAGTGTGCAGGGTAAGACGATACCAAATAATACCACAGTGTGCTGAGTCTTTGAAATCAGTATTTTACTCATTTCACTCCTCTGGCTGAGGAGATACAGTTCTGCTGATAAATTTGTGCGAGGGACAGAGAGAAAATGAAATGATGCCTACTTTTTCTTATTTCACAAAGACCTGTTTGAAGTTGCAATATGGTATCTGTAGTCCCAGACAGATGCACATAAAATGGAATTGAACAATGAATAGCCGACTCTTATCTGTTCAGTGTCTGAAGGGGAAATACATCACAAATGAATTTTTACAGGGAAAAAATATGGACATTCTCTATTACAGTAATCCCCATAGAAAGTTTATCCCAAATCGCGATGAAGTTAAACCCAATATTTCCAAATAGATATAGTGCAAAGAACGCTGCTTTTCTAGAATCATCTCTAAAATGATCTCAAAATTACATTATTGAAAAAAGATTATACAGAGAGTTTCTTTGATAAAATCAGAGGATGTTAATCTACAAAAGGGACAATTTCTCTCTTGAAATTAATGTTATGGTGTTGCAATGCTCCAAGTAGGCACTTTAAATTAAAATGATAATCAAGTGTCTTTGCATTGTCAGGGCTATGCACATCTCCTCTTGCTTAACTGTATTATTTTGGAGGTGAGCAATAGAGTCTGGGATTAGTGTGCCACGACAGGACTCTATTAAGTGACAGCCTTGTCCTGGGACAAAGGTGGGTGTGGTTACCTGTTTGGCTGTGTGCAGCAGCGAGGCGGCCTCAGCTCTACCTGTCTGTTGGACCATCTGGTAAAAGAGCCCGTCCTGGTTCTGGAGCAGCACATATGGCTGATCATACTCCTGGATCCTTCCGGCAGCCAGAACCTACAATCACACATACAATGCAGGGTGTGTGTGTTTGTGTGTGTGCCACCGCCTGTATACTTTACTTTGGGGAAAACTGACATTTCAGCTGTTTCACTGCTGAGTGATGCTTGCAGACAGTGCAAGATGAATGGGGAAACAGTAGCTCTCTGCACAAATGGAACCATCCATTTTACATGACTCATGCAACAGCAAACACAGGCGCCTGTTTCTGCTCGACAGGGCCCCGGACAATGACCGTAGCCTGTTAGCAGTGTGAAAGTCTAGTTCGCTGACTCTGACAGACTGAAGATCAGTGATTTATCCATGTATTTATCCTGGAATTTCAGCAGCTCAGGGGTGGTCCTCAGTCAAATCCAACAATCGCACCTTTAAGATGCTCTAGAAAATTACCATAATTTCTGTGTCATCACATGCTATATAAACCACACAACGAATAGTGCCAATTCAAGCAGTTTGGAAAAGACTACAATTATATTACAGACAAATTTTAACAAGCTCAATCCCTTTACAGCGGTAATGAGCAGTTTGTTATCGCTAAAGCCCAGTTACAGGGAGTGTTTAGTATGAAAGGGAGACTTCTGCAGTTGCTGTCATAATTAAGGAGTTCAGGAGCAGGATACTAGGAGACGTTTGCATCTTAGAAAACATTCTGCATGTAAAAATGGCACGGCTTAAGATTTGGACATGGCAGTTCAGGTGGGCCCCAATTTAGTTCTCCAGGAGTGCAAAACAAACCGGGGGCATTTAACACAAGTGTAGGTGTGAAACAGTCCCCGCTGCGTGATATTTGGCTTTTATCAGCAACCCTCTCAGTGACCGAGCAGCCACCAGGTCGTGCACTGTCCTCCACAGACGCTTGACAAACGCTGCCACAAATGGCACTAATTGGCACCTCTGCAGGCAGTAGCAGGAAAGGGCCAAAGATCAAGTGGCACGAGCGCAGGCTCAATGAGAGGGAATGCTGTGAGGGAGAAATCAGCCCAGCTGTTGCAAAATAGGGCAAGTGAATTAAAACTGTGAAAAATATTGTACAGTAGGCTCCTTGCAAAGAAGAAAGAGAAAGATTTATTTGGAAGCTCTGAATCTCAGGTGTGTTTGATTGATTGGTGTTAGTGAATATGAAGTACATGTTTTTGCAGGCTACTTCACTTTATACCTCAAATACTGTACACAAAAAGAGCTGAATAGATTGTAGCTGATGAAGAAAGGAGGAGGGTTTCTTAAAGTTTGTGATGGGACAATACAAAATGTTAGGACTAAAATCGCTGAACTTCTAGCAGGTTATTGTTTGCTCAACCCCATTAAATTAGTGGTCTCATTTAAATTACTGACTGAAGTGCTGGACAACGGACATTTACTGCGTTTTTACTTACCAGTATTCTGTCACAGTCAATGATAGTGTTGAGCCTGTGAGCAATGGTGAGGACTGTACACTCTTGAAACTTGTGCCGGATAGTCTGCTGGATGAGGCTGTCAGTTCTAAAGGAGCAGGGAACACAACACCTCAGCACAAAAAAACTCTCTTCCTATAGACCCTTGGGCAGGGATTTTACTTGACACAGAACAATGGCTCATCAGCAGAGGTATGTGCAGTAGTAGGAAAAAAAACCAAAGGATTGCACAGATCCTTAAAGGGAAAGTCAGTGATTCTGGAGAAAGACTGTTGATACAGCCAAACAATACACCCCTTCCTTCAGTGCTCCGTCAGAAGCTCCGCCCCCCCAAATTCATCAAGAGCATTGCCAAGGTAACAACATTAACAACTTGGCTAGCTGACCAAAAGATAAATATGTTGGAATCCAGATCATCTTCTACGGGAGGGAAAGTTAGCCTCAATACGGAGATGCAATTTTTATAGCTATGAAAATACAGGTGGCATATGTTTCTCGTAGTACTGCAGGCCTGCCAACACTCCACTTTTTACCCGGGTTTGACAATTACAATTTTAACCCATCAGCCACCGCAACCTGGCAACTCACAACCCGATTCAAGTGACACGTGCACAGCTGCTCTCTGCCGGACAGACAGGCAATCTAACTAAACGTTAGGTTTAGGTTTCAAAATATGAGGACAGGATTTATATCATATATACATTTATATCTGCTAGTCAACAGAGAACTGTTGTTGTCATGCTAATAGTGTAATTGTTTTGGCACTATTAGCTTTTGATTATTTATTGGTTTTGTGCAGTGATGCTCTGATCTATCGGCCATTCTGTGTAGTAGACATACATACTTGTTTTAGGAATATTTTCAGTTTGAATTACAATTCTGGAGTGGTACAACAATCTTATTAAACCCAGATAAAAAATCTGGAGTAGCACTAGTTTACAGAAAACGAGCCACATGTGCAAAGGACTGTTCAAATATTGATGCAAAATATCATACATTTACATAAAATGTTTTACTTGTAGACTCAAGTGTCTCCTGACCTTGGGTCCACATTGGCTGTGGCCTCATCAATGATAAGGATGCGGTTTTTCCGGAGGATGGCCCTGGCCAGACACACAAGTTGCCTCTGGCCCACGCTGAAGTTAGAGCCTGACTCAGTCAGCACCGTATCCAGCTTATTGGGCAGGTCCTCCACCACGGCCTTCATCTGCACCTGCAGAGAGGGAGAGCAGAGCCCCAACCCTTCATTACTCCTGCATAAAGGCTTCCTGTGGGGATGTCTTTAAAGAGCTATCCAAACACACCCATTAACCGCCTGGCACAATGCAGGGCCAGGTCCACTGATGACCTTGGCCAGTGCTCTCTTGTGGCCAGCCTCTAGCTTTAATCCAGGCCACCAAACCCATTCAGAGGCAGGACCAGGAGCTGAAGCCCTTCACTGTGGGGGGAGCCTTCATCCTGGTTGGCCTGACTGCCCAAACACATCTCCCCCAGCACTTTCAATGGTTCCCAGTTACAAGCCGCACATTGAGCTGGGCCCCATGGCCCTAATGGGATTTCCCCCCATGACTTGTGGCGAGCAGGGAGGCTGAATGGCAGCATTGTACAGGGGGACAGAGGGATCCCCCCCTGGGCCGGGCGAGGGGGAATCATTCAGAGCCACGCTGGAGTACCTCTTGGAGTGCATTCCACAGGTCCTCGTCTGTGTGCTGCCTGAAAGGGTCCAGATTCTTCCTCATGGTGCCCGTGAAGAGAACTGGGTCCTGTGGATAGATGGATATAGAAAGAGAAGGCCGTGGCCAGTTAAGATAATGACAAGGGGGAAGATGTATGAAAGGGTTAAGACAAGCTTTATAGAGCACTGCTAGGCTATGTTTGAGTGGAAGATGTCCACAAAGGGCTTGCTACACTCAGGAGCTCTATTCAATGCACTGGCCAACTATGCTTCAATAAGTTGATCTTTTTACTTAGAAAACCAGAGCTTGTGCACTGGTGTTGGTGAAGAATAATAACAAAATGTCTGCCAAAAGTAACAGCTTTAGCTGTCAAACGGGGTTATCACATCAATTGATTACCCTCATGAAAGGACAGTCTCAGATCTCAGACAGCTAGGATGTCCAAGATATGTATTTATGGTGAGCCACACACCTGTAACAAGGTTCAGCCACACAGCCATCTTTAAGTGAGTAAATAAAGCTCTTTATTATAGTGCAGAGGAACGAGCCCGCAAGTCCACAGGCACTGTTCCAACATGCCACTCTGTTTGTGGTGAACCTGATAAACAGGAGCAAGCCGGCATCTCTTCGTGTCAGGTCAGATATTTATTCATAAATCCTGCTCCAACGTTTAAGTGATTTACTGAACGCTTACCAGGACTCTCCCGGGTCGTTATAAAGAGACTGTCCTGCCTCTCATGGCACAGACCTGCTGTAGATAAGACTTTAATATGGCATCATTTCCGCGTTGTTTTATCAGTAAACAAATACAGCTGTGCTTTCTTTTGAAACGTAACACTGAATTTATGACACATAAATGAGTATAATGTGCATTTGGAAAAAGCTTTAATGAGATGTGACAGTCTATCACAACAATGGAGGTGGCACAGAGCGGCAAGCAACTGTCCATAACAAAAACTGATAGACTTCCAGTCAAGGCAGTTTGATAACTCCAGTTTACTCGAGATATGAATCTAACCTCAAATCAGATAGGAAATGTTCACTTGGCAACTGTGAGATTAGACCAGGAGCCAGAGTAAAATACACAATGGTTCTAAAAGGCTAAAAGTGTCCTGGGTTAAGGTTACAGAACTACAAGTCTGAATGTGACTCACTATCCACGCCTTCATCTCTGCTCTGTTACAGGCCAGCTTCAAAACCAGTGCTTTGAGAGCAACGCATGCACTCATGTGTGTCAGCACACAGATTTGTACAGTGTACACATACAGCACACACCCCTCAAATACAAAATCATGTCTCAACAAACCTTCATGTAGGTCAGAAAACTCAGGACTAACTGCTCAATTTTCATCCAGAAAAAAATAAAGCTTCCAGGACTTCATCCCTGCTACCTGTACCTTAGAAAATGTTCCACCTCTTTACTTCCAATGAGCTTTTCCTTCTGTCACCAAAATACCACCTTGTCATTAAGCCAGCTGAAGTCCCAATTCAAACTAGTTTTATGACACACTTTAATTGAGGATTCAATGTTAGGTCAAAAAACTGCTTTCAAGCACAGCTTTCCATAGACCGATTATGTGCTCCACCAATTCTAAGCCCTCTGTTTGCCACAAAATTCATTTTTTACTAAGTCATTCCTGAGAATTCAATAGAAACAGAAATGGATCCTTTTTTAATGCCATATGCTAATAAAAGCTTATCATAATCAAATCTGTGGGTGGCAAAATATGAAACTCCTCACTGGCAATGTATAGTATACATATCACACTCTCAAAATCCCACATGAAAAGGTGAGGCAACTAGCAATTTATATCAAGATTTTTTTCCATGTGAAAGGCTGACTGAATATCACTTTATCTCTGACATCTAGCAGAAAAATAAAAAGGCTTTCAGATGAATATGTGTAAATCCAAGAGACTCCTCGCTATACAAGTTTGTGAAACTAAGAGCATGATACAGAGAAACTCTACTCGTCTGAATGCTGGTAAGACTTCATGACTATGATGAAAATGCCATCCAGTATATGATACAAATGGGTGTGCAGTTAAAGTTCTGACTCCTAACCTGCCACTTTGTGCAAGTCTCCCCTCTAGGAGAGACAGAAAGAGTAAACAAAATCACATCAAACACACATCACATCCATCTCAAACTAGTTTGGACAAGGAAGTAAAACTTTATCTGAAGTAGTAGCACTGCCAGAAACCTATCAAATCCATAGAAAAGCATTAATGAAACTGTTTTTGGGCATCTTGGCTGCACCCTAGAAATGTTTGAGACTTGGGCAAAGTGATGGAGTACAAGGGGACTCTGGCTGTGAGGATGGGGGAGACTTCTTCTATAAGCAGCTTTCCCATGTTTGGGGGGTAGAGGGCTAATCCTCTGTCAGGGATGGGGAACTGCTCTCTTCACAGTACAGGCCGTGGGAGTCTTCTCCCCTCCCTCCACTCTGCTGACACTCACCCGCAGGCTGGCATTTTCTTAATGCCGTATCAGTTTCAACAAGCGGAAATAAAGTTAAACTGTCTCAAGGCATCCGTTTGTCTCACTTTCAGAAATCCCCTGGGAGATGACTGTAATTCTCCTCACTTGTTTTAGCTTTTTAAAAGCCAGGCGTATAAAAAAGGGCCAAAGCACGTACGTTTTCTTTACCAGTGTTCATCTGCCATTACTCAATCATAAGGAATCAAATAACCTCACAGACACTATCGAAAGCAAAAGTCCAGCAGTTTTAGAAAAGGACTGAGAGCAGAACATTAAAAGCAGCATAATATCAACTGAAAGTTGAATTGCTGTGTAAGTTCTAATATATCTGCTAATTTCATTCAAATTTTTCTATTAGTTACTGTATGCAGTTTCAAGTGCCAAGACACAACAGCTGAAAGTGAGGGTAATTTAAAAAGGGCACCTGTGGGATGATGGACATTTTCTGGCGCAGGGTGTGCAGACCAATCTCCGAAGTCAGAAAACCATCAATCATTATTCTTCCCTCAGGTTCTGCCAGCCGGAACAAGGCCGAGATCAGAGAGCTTTTACCAGCACCAGTACGTCCAACGATACCAACCTACAGTGGAGAGATGAGAACTATTTTAATACCTGTAAAATTCCAAAAAAAAAGAGTAAATGTTATCATGCTCCTTAATCATACTAGTATTTACTGTGTCATGTCACTGAGGGAACATGTCATATGGCTAAGGATAACAAATCACTATTTTTGACAGTATAGTTACATGACTTTGGCAGATATTGGAGAAAATGCCTGTTTATTTTAATGTTTTAAGATAAACATACTATTGTATCTTGATTGTATCATTAAATAAGCATATTCACATGGCATCAAGTGAACCCATCCTGATGCCATGTCACTTTATTTATGAACTGTATCATTTTGTGTTGGACCTTTTGCTTGTTTATGATTCAAGGCAGCTATTTTAAGTGTGCTATATTTCATAAAAGTGCTCAATTCATAGTCCAACAGTTTCACACATTGCATATGCCAATGTCTGTAGGTTGAATTTTTGGTAACCATATTACTCTAGTGCTATGATAACAGGTGAAGCCATTAAACAAGGCTCTATAAGCTCCACAGGCTTAACCACCCATCTTTTTGTATCTTTGTATTTCATGTACAGCACAAGCCACCCAATCAGGATGTAAGAGTACTAAAGCGGCGTTCGGCCCGACAGTAGCCCTGCATGAAAAAATGCAGCCCTGTCATTCATTCAAAAACGTTCTTATTTTTACATTCAAACATTTGCTAATTAGAACTAAAAACAAAATATAGCTGAGGTTGCTGGGAATGTCATTAGTTGGCCAGTGTCCCCCCAGTAAGACCTGTGCATAACTGAATCATGCCATGTAAAATTAAATTAAACACACAGACCTCATATTAAACACATAAGGCCCTTTTTAAACGATCTCATGGTCTGAAGTGCATGGAACATATGCGTTTTGCTAGTTAAACAGCACCTTATCTGGGCACAGAGCATGGCACAACAGGGGTTGTATTTAGTCTTAGTGTTTTGTAACACATCTATGATTTTTTGTAATATGAATTAAAGTGTCATCTCACAATCCTAGACAGTGTATTACCTCCAGTAGATGGCGGTCAGCATTTTCCCTGAAGCTATGCAATGTACTGTTCTGGACAGAGTCAGCAGCAAAAAGTATTTTAGCCACCTTAAAGAAGGCCTACCTGTTTTGCTTTTGCGCCCAGATTATGCAGATTATGCCTTGGCTCAAAGAGAGAGTTACTGTTAGAGTGCTGTTTCAGTACACCCAAGTGTTGGTGCCTCATTCAGACAAACCCCATTCTGTACATCTAATAATGTGTTAAGTTATTTTAAATCCTGGATCATTGAACTTGATCCTTTCTTTCCCTCCACCTAAACGGGCAAAGAGAAAAAATTGCATTGTTCCATCCTCTCTGTGGCATGTTATGAAGCACACACAGTGGTTCTTTTTTATGCAAGCAGTATTGTTGGTAAACCCCCGGCTAAACAAAAGGTGGCAATGTAATGTCAGCGTGTGGCACCAGCAGCCCAGTTCAGTGGAACAAGTACTGATTTGCCTGGTGGTTCCACTGTTGACACCATTTCCATTTGGTTCCAGACAATCAATTAATCTTGTATCGTGCCTAACTTTAGTGGATCATAACATATCGGGTATGAAATTGATGTGCAGATGCTCCAGTTCAAGATGAGGCCAACTTTTCTTTGTTATGCACCGCTACCGCCCGGTTAAGAGAAGTGAGAGGTCAGCAGTCAATGGCGGTATAAAACAGAGCAGTCACTAAAATACGTTTTCAAAAATTGTAAATAGCGGCAACCACAAAAGGACCTTGAGCATACAGTCATAGATGTGCACAGAAAATATTAGGCTGATGGGTCCAGTACTATGCGAGATTAGCTGCGGACAGATATACACACACACACACACACACACACACACACACAAACACATGATCCCCTCCAGGCTTACACCTGGTGGAGATAACAAACTGAGAGAGAACTGTCCACTGGGCTGTAACGGTTCCCACTAAAAGGGCCTCGAGAAACACATGCGATTATCACAGAAAGGACACACCACTGGACCACGCACCACTGGATGCCTTCACCTGGTCCTTGTAGGAAACATCTCAGAAGAGAAAACAATCTTTCCCCAAACCCCTTGTGTCAAGAGGATGTCACTGACACATTTACTGTAACAGTAGAATATGACAGACCTCTCTTCTGCAGAAGCTGCAGCAAAGAGTGCACAGACATGATTAAACTGCTGACAGAACCAGCACCCTCCTTGTAAAACAGAAATGTGGATGCATGCAATGAAAAGGCTACACCACTGTGCCAAAGAAATCCTAGACACACAAGCCTGTGGCTCTCATGATCCAGACATAGGCATCCCACTAGGGGTCGACCATTAATCGCCCTGGCCGATTATCGGCGCCGATATTCAGCATTTTTCCAATAATCTGCATCGGCCATTTTAAAAACAAATAGCCGATATAATTAATTAATAAAAAAATGCAGCCCTGCTGATGCAGCCGTTTCACTCCGTCTGTACTCACTACTCTGTGGGCTGGAGCAATGTCCCGCCCGGAGTACTAGCAGATTGGTTAAAGTCAACACTGTCAAATGAACACTGACTATTGTGCGGAAGTAGCCAATAGAACGAGCAAGCCACCACATTGCAGCCCCTCCCCTCCTCTCTCAGCAGAGCTCTACTACAGACACCAAGCGTAGCTAACGGAGCAGATCAGTGTTGATTAAATAAGTTGACCATAACTACACCTGTTACTAGGGTAACCAGATGTCCCGAAAAATCCGGGACAGTCCCGAATTACGAGCAGTTGTCCCGACTCCTGTCCGGTTTGTCCCGAAAATTAGACCTAACATGAGTTTTGATTATAGCCTAATTTAACATTAAATACTGATCATTGTGTAGTTTGCTTGCTCCAGCAGGGGTTGCAGGTTATCTCTACATTGTGTCAACGGTGTTTTTATAGCCACAATGTAACACTCGTCGCTCTCTTTTCCCCTTTTTGTTTTCTTGTGGTTAGTACTACGTACTTTAAAATTTAGCAGCTCCTTGTAAACTCAGCTGCTTGTTGAGATAAACCAGCTCCTTTCTACCAGCAGCAGCAAAGAGAGGAGGAGGACTGATACTGATGTCTGCGCTCTTTTTTCTAAAGTTCACTCAGTATTTTGATGTCAGGAATAGGCCTATAGTTTATTTTACGTTTTTTATTTTTCCATTTTGTGTTGGAGTTTGTGTTATTCAAAATTTTGACACCAAGATTAAAAGCATATGTATATCGGTTCCAGATATCGGTCATCGGTCTAATTGGTATCGAGATCGGCCCGAAAAAAACATATCGATCGATCCAGGCTCACTGTCTAAACCAGTACTTGTATTAAGTCTTTTAATGCTTGTTTTTAACCACTTTACTCTCCCTAATCTGATACCCATGCTTGAGGAGGAAGGGGCTTCCTATCATACCATGAACTCCAACTGGGCTTGCATTGGGTCCTCTCATGTCACAGGGGACATGACACATGGACCCCAGGAAAAGCTACCTGATCTACCTAGCCACAACTCCAACTCTGGTTACTCAACACAAAATGAGGAGTGGTCAAGAGACTGTTCATTTGTGAGAGAAAAAAAGTTGCTCATGTGGGAGCAAGGGCAGGCAGTAAGAGTATGATCCTTGCCCACCACATACTGGTTAATACTGACAGTGGATCTTGGGACATACCAAGCAAAGAATTTTGCTCTTTCATCATAAGGATGTTAAGATTGCTGTAAAGATATTTGCAGACTTTTGAGGAGATTGCTAGAAAAAGCCATCTGCCTTTTACAAGTCTTCATCCCTGAACGATATTGGTCCTTTAAGCACCTTCCAAAATGATCTATGTGGGAATCAAAAAAACGCCCACACACACACACACACACACACACACACACACACATGCTGCCAGCTGCTTTTACTTTTCATTGCATGCTTTAACAAAATATCAGTGCAACCTGCAAAGCGTGCTCTGTCTAATCGGGCCCTTACACCACACTACTTCCCGATGTAAATGAAGGTTATTTTAATTTGAGCAAAAAACCAATAATGGTTGATTTTCTCAAAATAACTGTCTCATAATGCACTAGGAAGTGGTCAGCGTGGATCAGTCACACTTTCTTTAGCTTTTACTAATCAAACTATAAGGAAAAAGCTTATCACATTACCTTTCCTATCTTATTTCAGAAAAAACACAATGATGTCAAAATTTATCTAAGAAACCATATTGTGCAGTTACAGTTTAACTATAGCATAAGGAAAGGTAAAAGTGAGGAGTGCATTATCATTGATCTTGGAGATAAGTAACATGCCATTACAATGGAAGGTAAACTGTGGTGTTGTAGTGAGTGGTGTGTTTTGATATGACTATGTGCAGTAGTGAGGGCCAGGGTGAATGGATCTTGTTCTGCAAGTGGTGGGTGCAGGTTTCCTTGTGAAAGGGTGTCAGGGAAACTGTCGGGATGCACAAAGCCTTTCACCCCCATGGCATGTGGCAAGGATCCCTCCCATGGGCTGTCAGATTCAGGGCGTCTACACTTATCAACCCATCCATTGTGAAATCAGCCGCCCTGGCCAACCATAGCCATGCAAAATACACCTTCTGCATTAAACACAATTTCAATCATCCTCAACCATCTCACTCTGTTTTCCTCCCTTTCTTCCCTCGCCCCTCTCCCTCGGCCTCTCCCTCTCTTTATAGTGAATAAACAGTTGTCACCGTCAGGTAGCTCAAAATGCAAATTGGGCACAAATGGATCCACTTGAACAGTCTTAATTACATGGTATGTATTCCATGAATCACAAATGGTATAGTGCTGAAGATTCAGCAGCACAATATGGTGTCCCTTCAATAATTGATTTGAGAATAATGCCACATAAAAAAGAATCACATCACACCTTCTACACTAGCTGCATATTAACCTATGTCATGGGCTGTGCACACCAGTGAACATGCACAGGTGGGAATAAAGACAAGAACCTTTTCTCTGGATTTGAAGACAACAGTCAGGTTCTTTAGGACCAAACGCTCACTGGCACTGTAAGAGAAGTTGACTCTGTCAAAGGTGATGGAGCCTGTCTTGGGCCAATCATGCGGAGGCTGTTTGTCCGTCTCCCACAGTGCTTCACTCTCCAGCTCTGCATACTCAACCACTCTCTCCACTGATGTCATCTACAAAAGACAAGGCAATTTTTCCATGGACCATGTAGATGTGTACAATACTAATGTGAAGACAGATTTCGGATTTAAGAATGTTGCTATTTTTTCACTTGAAAAACAATTGAAAATGGCAGCACTACAGCTTCAGTAAAAAGTTAATTGAACACACATTAACAAGTGGATTAATGAATTTACTACTTTTATTTTATATTTTCTTTTACAATGTATGCACTTCCAGTCCTACAATACTCATTGAAATTGACTAAAATTTCAGAGAATAAATCATGATAGTGCTTAGTGATGTCCAATCACAATAAAGTGTTCAAATGTAAATGTTCTCACCATGTTCTCGATCTCGGCACTCTGTCTGACGCCCCACTGGAACATGCCTGTAAGTGTCACAGCATAAGATAGCGCCAGACCCACTGCACCTGGCTCAAGTCCTGTAAATACATACAGTCACACATTCATGAGTTTACCATCATGGTTTCACGAATGATGTCTCACATGTCAATAACGCGTCTCATGTTTAACCCAAAGGCCATACAGTACCATCCCTGAGGTAAAGGCAGCCAAAAGCAGTAATGGTGACAAAAACCGAGCAAATTCCATCAAGACGCACCGCAAACCAGCGAGAAGTGGTCAGGAATAAGAACCAGGCCGCTGTTAACAAACACACAGATTAAATAATACATCTTATTGCTGATAATACATTTTTTAACAACATTAGTCTGGATGGCTTTGGATGGGTATGATGGTTCATATCCTTAAGTGAAATTTATTTTTATTCTCACCTGAATGAAGGTCTTGATATTCATCAAACATTTGCTGAAACCTCTGCTGAACCTTGAAGGCACGGATGGTGCTCAGGCCTTGAAGCGAGGAAGAAAGGTGGGAGAATACGGGACTCCGAGCTAAAAGAAATATAAAACATATTTTTTAGCATTTGAACAAACATGCATCTGTAAAATCAGCCATCCATGCATTTAACACTCCAATGACATTTTTCAACCCAAATGCATTCCTTACTCTTATACTGAGGACAGTTTTGAAGACTTTTAACCATATTTTTAATGTGAACATAGTTTCAGAATATAAGAAACCACAAGGAACTTTCATTTTGTGTTGAATTTGGCAGTCCCTGTGGACAAAAGCAGTAGTGTTTCCACCGGCTTGTAAAGATCTTGATCTGAGTGTGCATTTGTTTTGGAAGCGAGTGAAAGAAAGATTACATTTACATTTATACATTTAGCTAACACTTTTGTCTAAAGCGACTTACAATTATGCATAAAAATGCACTATGCATAAAAATTACTGGTTTTAGTAGATCTTAGTGCTGCATTTCATATCATTGACCATCATATCCTAATACAGAGACTGGAACATTTCATTGGCATTAAAGGAACCGCTCTAAGCTGGTTTAGGTCTGTTGTACATGTTAACGATGAGTCCTCCATGCACGCCAAAGTTAGTCATGGAGTTCCTCAAGGATCTGTGCTCGGACCAAGCCTCTTCACTTTATATATGCTTCCTTTAGGCAATATTATCAGGAAACACTCCATAAACTTTCATTGTTATGCAGATGATACTCAGTTATATCTATCGATCAAGCCAGATGAAACTCATCAGTTAGCTAAACTTCAAATGTGCCTTCAGGATGTTAAAACCTGGATGACCTGTAATTTTCTAATGTTAAATTCTTGTTGTTCTAGGGCCCAAGTACCGCGATGATGCATTATCTAAAGATATACTGTAGTTTCTCTGGATGGCATCGCCCTGGCCTTCAGCACCACTGTGAGGAATCTTGGAGTTATCTTTGATCAGGACATGTCCTTTAAGTCTCACATTAAGCAAATTTGAAGGACCGCCTTTTTTCACCTACATAATATTGCAAAAATCAGGAATATCCTGTCTAAAAATGATGCAGAAAAACTAGTCCATACAGGCTGGATTACTCCAATTCCTTATTATCAGGCTGCTCGACAAAAGTCCATTAAGACTCTCAGCTGATCCAGAATGCTGCAGTACGTGTTCTGACAGGAACCAGGAAAAGAGATCACATTTCTCCTGTCTTAGCTTCTCTGCATTGGCTTCCAGTAAAATCCAGAATAGAATTTAAAATCATTCTTCTCACCTACAAATCTCTGAATGGTCAGGCACCATCTTATCTTAAAGAGCTCATAGTACCTTACAGCAGGGTTACTTGTGGTTCCTAGAGTCTCCAAAAGCAGACTAGGAGCCAGAGCGTTCAGCTATCAAGCTCCTCTCCTGTAGAACCAGGTTCCAGTTTGGGTTCAGGAGGCAGACACTATCTCTACATTTAAAAGTAGGTTTAAGACTTTCCTCTTTGATAAAGCTTATAGTTAGGGCTGGCTCAGGTGAGTCCTGAACCATCCCTTAGTTATGCTGCTATAGGCCTAGACTGCCGGGGAATTTCCCATGATGCACTGAGCTCCTCTCTCCTCTTTCTCTCCCTATGTATGCAACCTCATCCCATTAACACGTTACTAACTCGACTTCTTCCCTTTCCCGTAGTCTTGTGCTTTCTCGTCCCTCTCCTCTCTCCTCCTATCACTTTCTGCAGGTGTTTCTGGCTCTGGAGCTGTGGAGTCTAGATCTGTGGTTGCGAGTCACCTCCTACCTTCATGTTCCTGCTCGACACCCTCTGTACCAATTATTGTTACTAGTCCTATTGTTATTATAATGATTAACATTACGATTATTATCAAACACTACTGTAAATATCTGTACCATTTTTCAATCAGGCTATAGCAACATTACCTTTACTGTCCGGACTGTCCTGACCTCTGTGTGTATATTGTGTAGGCTGCCTCCCTCCCCTCTCTCTCTCTCTCTCTCCTTCCATCCCCATCCCTCTTTCTCTCTGTTCCTCTCTTGCCCCCCCCCCTCTCTCACCCCCAACCGGTCAAGGCAGATGGCCGCCCACTCTGAACCATGGTTTCTGTCTCTTAAAAGGAAGTTTTTCCTTGCCTCTGTCGCCTAATGCTTGCTCTTGGTGGGAACTGTAGGGTTTCTGTAAATATCATCACAGAGTACGGTCTAGACCTACTCTTTTATGACAAGCGCTCAGAGATAACTGTTGTTGTGATTTGCAACTATATAAATAAAATTTAAGTGAACAACTGCTATACATGTCAGAGGTCGCACGCCTCTGGAGCAACTAGTGTCTTGCTCAGAGACACAACGGTAGATGGGTCACAGTGGGGAATTGAACCCGGGTCTCTCACACCAAAGGCATGTGTCTTATCCATTTTTTTAAAACACAGCTGTTTGCATGATGCATAGCAATGAGGTCATGTCATCTATTTGTGGTTATGTTAGATTAACAACTGTAATATGATGATGGTGAAACAAATAAAACGCTTTTTTAGTACTGTTTATACTCCTAGGTTATATGTAAGCCTACAACTTACAGATTTGGTTGCTCATTAATAGTAATTTTTTTTGACAAAGCTCAAGTTATTAACAATCCCTACTAATGTTCTGTCTTCATAATGATGAGCCAACAGCAAGATATAGCTCATTAGCGAGGCTAAAAATGTTACATTATAATCCAGTTGTATTATAATAATGTCCACTGTGACCTATACCTCCATGGACTGTACACAGCCAAATTAAATAGTCATATTACATACCTGTGTAAAAGGAAGAGAGAGAATTCAGGGATGGTTTTGAATCCTTTCAAATTCTCTCCATCTGTTGAATGACCAACGGTGACTCGTGTTTTTGCCCTTGCTCTATCACTGTCCCTCTTTTGGCTTTTTTTTCTGTCTTCTGTCAATTCTCTTTGCTGATCCTGCTGCAGTATCAGCCATAACCACAAAGTATAACATCCAAATTTCTTGAAAGAGGAAGAAAGGAAGAAGAAAATTGTCCTCCTGCTTCCTGCTAACGTAAAGCTCCAAACAGCCAGTCTTCCATCCGATGGTTTTCGTTTTCTTATGTAGGTGTGACTGTAGGTTTTCTACTCAATATATGTACTTACAGACAATGTAGCCAAAGAAAAAGTGATTTAGTAATCAATAGTGTCATTTGTATGTAGACTGCATCATACAGAGATTTAATATGTACCTGGCGCAAAACAGTTTGATTTAGGGAAAGGTTGCAAATGAGTGGTCTTTTGTTTCTGTTTGTTAGGCTTACAAAACCAAAGGCAAAACCTAAATGTTTCCTCTGAGCTTTTTAATAGAACTTTTGTTCTTTAAGATGATGGAACCTGTTGGCCAATGTGCATTTAGTCTTTCAGTCCAGAATAAAATAGATGAACTAAAGCCTGCAATGGCCTAGTCATGCCCACTTGGCATTTTTCCCTTTGTATGTGATGTCATGAACTCCCGTCTCTTGAGGAAACTGCGTGTGGCCGAGCCATAGGCCAACGCCACCTTTAGCCTTTATGCTAATGACCATGGCTTTCTTCAATGGTCTATTAGCATTCCTGTGGTCTGCTTTTGTCTCTTACCACAAATGGACATGCCCAACCCACCAAAGCCCAAAAAAATTTACTGGTAGACTCTAGGCGCTTGATGTCCCTGGAGGTCTGCAGGAAGTAGCATCGCAGACACAGGAAGACAGCAACAAGGGGAACAACGGGAATAAGGATCCAGGGTATGATGATGGCAGCTACTGCAATCACTCCAGTGACTTGAAGAAATACCTGGGATAGGAAGAGAAATGTGAGCAGAATTTAACCAAATAGCAACACAGTCAAAAGCTCCACTGCTACCGTGTGGGCTACCACTGGGGCAGCGAGGCCTATTTCTTAAGGCCAAACAAGAGAAACTCTTTCAGTCGTATTTGTGTGAGACCATCACGGACATACAGAAAGGTAACAGCAGGTTATGGGACTGAGGTTATGTGACTCACAGCGTGAAAGGAAAACGATCACAGCGCTAATTCTCACTTAGTAGCAGGTGAGAATTTACCACTTGGCCACTGCCGCTCATATCCCTGGCTCTCTAGGGCTTTCCCTTCAACACTTCTGGCCTGTATGCCTGCCTGGCAGAGCAGCCAGCCAACAGCCATGGCCACAGTGACTGGCAGAGGGCTCTGGGAACCACACTGTGGGTGTCTGATACATCACACTCAAACCACACAGCCCTCAACAACACAGTGACTCATCAGCCGTCCTAATGCCTCTGTGACACATCTAGACCAGGATACCAGAGCTGCCTAAACAGGATTGGAGGCAATGAGTCTGACAACGCCAAAGCACCCACACCTGCACTGGGTGTAGAAAATGAAGTAAGCATCTGATAAAGTATTATTGTGATTATTAATATTAAAGTTAAAATGCTTTTACCATAGCCCATCTGTGGTGGTTATTATCAAGTACTCTAGTACTGTACTCAGCCACCAACCAAATTCTAGAGAAATTATTTCCATTTTATACTTCTACCTAACTACATTTCAGCAGCAAACTTTGCACTTTTTACTTTGTAGATTAAGATGTTAATTTACAACATATATGATTCACCTATAACATGTGATGATTTTTTATAGACTAAACTGCCAAACAGTATATTAAGTATTAGCTCCACCTTAACCAGCTACAACATTAAAATGCTGCTGTGTGTTGTGTTATGCATAGTAGTTTGTGACAGTAATCCAATAATATTTTATATATAATAACTGAAAAGGAGCTATCCTGCATTAAAAATAAACACTTTTATTTTGAACATTTATTGTACATAACATTTCTTGACTTCAACAAAATTTTAAATGCCAGAAGGACTTAAACGTATAACAGTGTAAATGTATGCTTTTATTAATTAATTCAAGAATTGTACTTATCATTTTAGTTGTGTGTACATTACTTACGTATTTCCATTTCATACTACTTTATACGACAATTCAGGGAAATTCTGTATATTTTAATCCGCTACATTTATTTGACAGCTCTAGTTGCTAGTTATTTTTCAGATAAAGTAAAAGACAATATAATGCTAAATATTAAAGCAATGGTTCCTAACCTTTTTGGTTTGTGGCCCCTTACCAAAAAGCAGTTGGAGTTCCTTGTCATGTTTCACATCTCTGAGTTGTTAGTGCTTCCAGATCTCTCTCTATATATCGCTTAACTACACTGGCTCCCAGTATGTTTTAGAATTGACTTTAAAATTTTATTGATCACTTTTAAAGCTCTTCATGGCCTCTCGCCTTGTTATATTTCTGACCTTTTAGTCCCATATGCACCAGCACATACCTTGAGATCCTCGGGCAGAGGTCTGTTGTCTGTTCCAAAGTCTCGACTGAAAACTAAAGGGGACAGAGCGTTTGCTGTCAGGGCCCCGAGGCTCTGGAACAGCCTGCTCGAGGAAATCAGGTCGGCTGAGTCAGTGAACTCTTTTAAGTCCCTTCTTAAAACATACTTTTATAGGAGAGCCTTTCCCGATCTTATTTGACTTTATTTTATCCCTTTTATTTTATTCTATTTTACTTATTTCATATTTATCTTAAACGTGTATTTTAGTCTTTTCAATGTTTTCTTGCTTTTATCTTGTATTGTTTTTGTATTTTGTCTTTTGGGTATTATTGTCTTTACACTTGTTAAAGCACTTTGTAACTTGTTTTTGAAAAGTGCTCTACAAATAAAGATTATTATTATATTATAATCTCTCTCTCTCTCTCTCTAGATAGACAGACAGACAGACAGACATATTATATAGATAATTTTACTTTTGATACTTGATACCAAGTACATTTTGCTGATAATAATTTTATACTTTTACTCCAGTAGGATTTTGAATGGTGCACTGCGTTTACTGTGTGATATTGATACTTTTAGTTTAGTAAATGATGTAAATACTTTTTCCACCACTGAATATGAGAGAGACCATTTCTTCTTAACTGAAAGGTATACTGTGTTACATATTTCATATTCGATTGATAGCTGATAAAACTGAAACCTCCTACCCTGAAATTAGACACATCCCAAGAGATGAATCCTAAGACGTGGAGATTAGGATCGTACTGTTACCTTCAGTGGTCTCAGACTAGCCCAGAGAGATGAAAATTTAATTTAGCACCTTAATTACGGATGTTATCTGGCACTTAAGCACACATTTAAGCATGATCACTTTCAGTGTAGTTTTATGATGAAAAGCTACTCAATTCCATTTGCAGTTCAGATAAGAGGGTATTACTAGTCTAACCATTTGCTGTAGTGGAGCCTACACAATCAAACAGTGAGAGGAAGCTACTGAGCACAACTGATCCCAAGAATTTCACAGTACATAAGTTTCAATCTTAGCCTTGATGGAAGGCTACCAGACTGCAAAGTGAGATGGTGGCACATGAGCCATTACTGCATGTTATCCAGCCTTCCCTAGAGGGGATCAAATATTAACTGAACAAATGTCTTATCATACATACTGTTTTTCTTTCACTCTCCACCTGCTGATTGGCGACACAGTGACACCGCTCATTCAGGTTTGCAGATTGGTTAATTTAAATTATAATTGGGCCAATTTCAGGCAGGGGCCACGACGGTCCGAGACGGGCTTATCTGTCAGTGGGGTCAACTGAGGGGATGGAGGAGGAGGAACAGGAACTATTAGATAGGAGTCTTGCCTCCTCCTGCTCCCCAAGGTCCGCTGTCGCCAATGCCCCGTTTGATGTGATCCATTTTCCTGGTCTGGAGCTTATCATGTCCGCATCAGGAACACCGTGGCCCCCACCCACACTAACACAGATGACTCAGATACGTGATCCCACAAGCATACACCTCACCCCCCCAGACCACATCCATATCTCCTATGAAACCACACAGGAACAGAAACCTCCCAAAGCCACATCCCGCTGCACATAAAAGTGGATAAAAGGATGAAAGGTTTTGTATACAAACAGTTTAAATAAAGAATTACCGCTAATTGCTCTTTAGCAAGAAAAGAAAGCTACCGCACGCATGTGATTCAGTCATTCAAGCAAACTGGGGGCACTGCTGTGTCCAAAGACCATTGAGATCTCTGCTGACCCTAATTGCTTTATTTTCTCAATGATTCCATCAGCTCTTTGATGTCCAAATAAATGTAGAAAATTGAAGTTAATTGCTATATTTGTGTTCAGCAATGATAGCGACTGTTGTTCCGCAGCAGAAAATAAACACTTGCCTTTAATTAAACATCCCTGCGGACACAATGAATCAGTACGCTTTTTAATACAACCCCTTTTTCATCCTCCCTTTATTTACTGACAGTGCGCAATATTTGCCAGTGGGAAAAAAAGTGCAAACAAAACAGGAAATGAGGGGAAAGCATGGCAAAGAAAATTCCTCAAAAGAAGCCCTCTGTCATCGCTGGAATTTTGTTTTACTCCACACTTTTCCGTGACAGTGTGGCACAATAAGTTGCAAGGGTCAGTGGTACTGAAACAAAACAGGGCTGTTCCACTTGGGCTCTGGAACAATAGCAGTGACCCAATCCATTCTACTCTGCCTTTGGGCTTTATTTTAGCATTAAATGCCCAGATGCTGTGGCTTTTCTTTGGGAGAAATGACTGTGGACACCTCCTTCACATTTTCCCTTTCTGGGCCATTTTCACTTCATAAAGCTGCAGTCAATGTGTTTTGTGTGAGGTGAGGAGGGTCTGACACATACTGTGGTGGTCTCAGTCGCTGTCTACATTGGTGGCTCAAGTAGTCCTAGGATTAGGCTTTTGTGTGCTGTGAAAAGGTAAAAGAAGTCACTTATTTGGGCTCAGTCAAGCTGCTGATTTCCAACCCCATTTTGGAAATAAGAGAAAGGCTCTGAAATGCGTTCTCTCTCTCTTTCTCTCTCTCTCTCTACTATAAATCACTTGTGTCCAGCAAATTAATTCATTCAGTCATTGCTCCTTTCTTTTCCTCTTGAAAAACATTTTCAAATGTGTAAGAAAACAGCAATTCACAAATACAAAAGTCACTCACAGAAGGTACAGAATTTATTATCTGCGTCATATTGACATGAGGGGAGAATCTGGATTAGATTGGGACTTTGTTATGTAAGTTCCCAGGCTAAAAGAACCGCTGGCTCTGGTCTGTATGTCTGAGTCAGAGCAGCTGAGGTGCTGGACCGCAGCATCATGGGAGACCACACAAACACACACTGGAAGCTTTTGCTGGCCGATGCTCGCCATCAAATGACCATGTGTGGTATTGCTGAGTGGCCAGTTAAGCACACCCATAAGCACACACAATGTTGTTTTCTTGTGTTTTGGTTTATTTTTACATTCATTTGACAAATATGTAATTAAAAACAAGTTGTATAGCCGATCACCTTTCTGTCACTTGTATTTTCACACCTTGTGTAAGAAGACAATGGCACGCTCATAAAACAATGCTCACGAGGAATTTATGGTACAGCCTATATATTTCCACGCAGGATCCTGTGTTTCTCAGGATAACCTGTGTAACGCCTGGAGCCACTGCATTCTTCACTTCTTCTATCACCAGTGAGGTGAAGAAGCAGAGAAAGCCAGTGAAATCCCATCCTACAGCATTCACAGTTACGTCAGCAGTTCTCATATCCCACAAAGCCACTGAAAAGGCCTGACACACAATGTGCCACAATATACAGACTCACACAACGAACCACCCGCCAGTGTTTTTAGACAATAGCCATCTTTACTCTGTGTTTGCGTGTGTCTTCTGTGCTTGGTTTCTGTCTGCACACTGCACACATGCAGTTTTTTCATACACGCTCTCAAACTATTTTCTTTCTCTCTCTTTCTCCAGATGACTGTAGGGTTTACTGCTCTAATGTATGAGCCACTGTTTATATGCCATTAACATTGGTGAGACCAGGCTAAGTCACACTTAAATGAAAGTAATTGTCAGCTGGTGTCCTAGCGTGCACATGCTGACAAACTGAATTTGCATGGATGGTGAAGAAGACCTGTGAATCTAACTATGGACCCCACAGTTAGTGGTGTGACTTGGTCAACAGCCTTCACACGAAATCCTCCAATGAAAGACCCCTGTACTCACCCCTTATTATCTTGCCCTCCCTCCTCCTCTGCCCCTTCTGAGAAAATAGAGGCAACTCCGGATTTAAAGGTCAAGTCTACACAAAAGCCGACAGTCCCCAAAGCCTGAGGTGTTTTTAATTGACATTTCTGTCTTTGTCCCCTGACCATAAAGAGCAGAGAGAAAAGCCTATTTCCCAATACACTAAATTACTACTAAATGAGACCTGTGAAAAAATAGGGCTCTGGGGTCTAACCAGGTTCCCCCAGTTTGAGGGAATCCCCTTGTTAGGCGGGTATAGGGGCAGTGCTGAGGGGCTGTGAAGTGCTTACTCCACCATAAAGGGGGAGGCTCTGGTGCAAATCCCCGCACAGAAGCAGCCTCTCCCCATAGAGAGAGATAAACCAGTTAGGGCATTGTTTATGAAGTTTCACTTTATTCCCCCCTGACAGCCATTTAAACAATGACTATGGGGAAATGTCCCTCTGCGAATGAGCAACAATAGTCAGGATCAGCAGCTTTTCTGGGCCGCTAATACTTTGATAAAAAGAGTGAAAATCTTCCTTCCTGAAAGCATTAAAGACTGCCCCATGAAAGACACCTGCAAACAAGAGCAGCAAAGCTGCACAAACCAGTGTTTTGTTCATAGGTTGCCACCTTTGTCTACTATCACAATCACTTCCCACTATCTGCTGCAACAGAAGACTGGCAGAAACAATGTGGACATGATATATCCAGTCTTATTTTGACAGTTTACTCTTCAGTTATTAAATGCTATTTTTCACTGCAATAGAGAAACATCGTTTAAATAGTAGTGTGTCTTGTATTTCATTATAACACATGTAATAACTAATATGGGTTATTGGACGAAAAGTCATACATGAAGTACAGTGAGTTCTAGTCTACTTTCACATTTCAGTTGGACCTATGGGCCTTCTGCAAAGTTATTATTTTACTCCAGCCATTATTCACCTTATTATAAAAATGAGGGAAACTAAAGCAGACAAAAAGCTTTTGTGCGTATGATCTTTTGTGCTTTCAGCATTTAAGATGGCTTTTGTCTACTGTGAGATGGGTATCTGCCACAAACATCACTCAGGCATTGTGGAGGGGGGATTCGTTTTCAGTGCGCCTTTGTTCTATTCTTTGGCCCTAACCAAAGAGCCACGCCTGCTCCTCTACCTCGAATTGTGCAGCGAACATTCCCTTCTTTGTGGCGCTAGGTGCATGAGCTGGCTCATCTCCGCAGGCTTTCGTGGGAGATGGCTGTCGCGGTGGCAAGGTGGCATTTGGTAACCCAACCTGGTTATGCACTAGGGTGGCCCTTGGCTACCAGGCCTATAAGACTGTAGAGCATTAGGTGAATTGCGCTGAGAGGGGCAAGTCCTACTCTGGATCTGTTCCAACTGACCTGTCCCCTTCCCCCTCTACCACACTTCCAGCTCTACTCCTGCAAACACATCCTACGCCTGCTGCTCACACTTCTTCTCTTTGCCACTCAACACATCATCCTTGTCACCCCCTCCCTCACTTCCCCACTGTTTTCCTCCACATCGGACCCATCATCCTGTGGCCTTTATTTCCTCTCTGGTACCTTTCTCTCTCTCCCAATCAGTGGCTTAGTCTCCATACACATTCTCTGAAGATGCCGCTTCTGTTGTGTCACACTGAGGGAGCCACGCCCTCAGCCTATGTGCACACTTTTATTAAATCTGTGCAGGCGCTGGGCTGCGCTGGCGGGTAATCCTACAGTAATTGTTTCCAGATTAGGGGACCCGGACCACAAAGCAGGTTTAGCCAGGCATGAAATGGCCTTCCCATGCTGCAGCGCCAGCGACCAAACCTGCCGAGGTGAGACTCACCTGGATAAAGTCCACAAACGTCCATGGGAGCAGAGAGTCCAGGTAACCGATGTCCTTTGAAAACCTGTTGAGGATTCTTCCTGGGAAACAACACAACACAAAAGAAAAAAAGATTAAATGACATTAGAGTAGATAGAATCACACAATTGACAGCAGAATTTCATTTTACTGGTTATAAAGATGTTACGTGTATAAAGTGGGCAATCAGAATATATATAGTAGGTAGGTGAAAAAATGTGATGTGTAATTATATACTGTGAGAGAACACCTGGAGTATATATCATGTCATGTAATTTGCAGATCTAACCTAAAATAGTCCTATATGACATCTGGAAGAACAAATCCAAGTAAAATGCTTCCATAAAAAAAAAAAACATTTGTTTGTTTCAGTACCCTTTAGTCTCACTAGACTATTGAGCAACTGTTACCAAAGTCCCCTCCAATTTAATAGGAAAGAGCTTATACATTGAGTTTGTATCTGATGAAAAACACAGGCGTATCTAGATTAAACAATGAATCATTATTTGTCTAGCATTTCATAAAGACTGCCCTGCTCTTGGCTGAATACGTGAGGGAACCTTTTGTTTAGAAACAAAAGGGCAACAGAAGCTGCGTACCTGCCTTTATGTTCTGACTGGCAGTGTCAGTGACGTTAATTGAGTTGCCTCCAATCTGCTCAGGTGTTCATTATTTTGGCTGGTGCTCTGCAGGTGGTGTGGCAGCCGTTTATTGTGACTCTTTTAGTAACTTTGCTCCACTATTTTGATCCCACAGCACATAAGATTATACTCCAGCTGCTTTCACACACTGTTTACTGCAGGGTCAGTGATAGTAAATCCCCAAACTACACTACCTGAAGGCAAGCAAGACAGAAAGGCTTTCTCTATCTCTGTCCCTGAAGGAAGCCCTTAGACTCAGAGGCAAACAAAAAGTACCAGAGCAGTGCCAGTACTACTAGGACTGGGCTCAAGTTAAAAGACACGACAAAGCTGAGGATCTGTTGTGTGTTAGTCTTGTGTAGTGTATTTTTCCCTGTCAAAGCTCCTTCAAAATAGTTTCATTATGTTTCATACTGTACTTCAGCAATCCATTGTCTACTCTCAGGGTGACACATCACTAAGCAAACAATATCTGTCTAAGGAGAATGTAAATAAAGCAGCACTCACATATTTAGGGTACAACCTCTGATAAAGTGAAACTAACTGTGCAAGCATGCAGGTGAGTATATCTAGGCTCACAGAATAGGCCATGAAGACAGGGTGGGACTTGGTACGGGACCGAGAAAGGGAACGGATGAGCGGCACATTGGCAGAATGTGGAGGCATGGTAGAGCCGTGGCACCACTGACCTAAAAGTTGCCTCCCAGCCTCCCAGTCAGTCCTACGGAGGTGGGCCCTGTAATCACCTCTCTCCACGGCCGTAAGCAGCTTACAGCTTTATCCAAAATGCCGCTCCCGCCTAAAAACATGCATGCAGACGAGGCCGGGCTCCCCATAACAGCCATTGCATAAACCCAGCCAGAGCATTATTCCCCGCAACAACCCAGCAATGCTCCAAATCAGTACTGATTCAAAGTCAAGTGGCGTAAGCATGTTGTACACTTGGAGGCAGACTAATCTTATTCACAGTGTGAGTGCCCCTTTAGCATACAGACATCCCGAGGGGAGGGTTCAAGCAAGGGGGTAGAGCTGCTACTATACTACTGTAGAATATTGCTGCTTTAGTCTGGGAATGGGGGGAGTACTTGTCAAACTGTGTTTGTGGACGATCCAATACTATTTTATGTAATTTTACTGTCTAAGCCATAGATGACCTAAATTCATGCATATCTGACAAACAATGCCAATAAGAAAAGGATAGGTTTCTCTGGGTTACATCATCCCATGGTTAGAGGGTGTTAGAGCAGAGAACATCAGTCAGCTATCAGCTGTTTGACAAGCGGCTCAGTTAACAGAGAGTTTCAGAGGGGATAAAGTAAAGACCCTTCTCCATCCTGAGCAGACTATAGAGGGGATACATTACAGTGATGCAGTTACACAAAGACATTCACTGCATGGAAATGCCTATGAGGTAAGATCGGCATGGGACAATAGCTTCAATCACTATGGGTGGTTGTCAACAATATCACCTATTGTGTAGAGAGGGGTATAGACGTTTCAGGATATCAGCAGCATTAGTATCAAACAATTTCTCATGGTTTAAGACTCCAGGGGTGATTTGCACCACTTTTTCAGGCTCAGGAAATATCAAGGCCTCCCAACCAAGGTGGCCCCTTAGGTGGAGATATTAGGTGAGCAGGGCCCCCAATCACACTTAAAGAAATGGAACAGTGGGGTCCGGCTAGAGCAGAGCGTGTGGCAAATCGCTGTTCCCTGTAAACATCAAGATAAGGGGACAACTCAGAGCCGCTCCATGTGTGGGCCCCGATGCAGTTGGAGGGGCCTTTCAGTGAGGCAAGTGCGATAATGAAGGAATACTGGGGAGGGGGCTGCCAAGGCTGGAGGTGGCACAGCTCACCTGCACTTCCATGAAGGGCCCAGGGGCCTGGGGCAGCCTCCCACCGCCGGCACCTTGCTGCCAATACTAATACATTCTAAATCCATTCTCTTCGCTCACACCGCCAGGCTCCTGCAATCTCCTCTCCTTCCCTTTCATGCAATTAAATAGTGGAAGTGCAGAGCGAGGGGGAGCCCTATCAGCCATACTGCACACACACACGGCTCCATCTCCACATTCAATTTACACACCTCGATATCATCATCCTCTCTGCAGTACTTCCTCCACTTCGCTCTCAACACTTGCATCCCAGACCTGAAATACAGACATTAAAAACATTGCCTCTGTAGACACAATTAGAATCTCACATCACTCACTACAGAAGATCTAATGTTCCCTGCGCCAACAGCAGCTGAGTGACACCTAGCACTGAGATGGCCCACTATGCCGATGTGAAAGGGGGACGGTAGAAGTGTGTGTGTGTGTGTGTGTGTGTGTGTGTGTGTGTGTGTGTGTGTGTGTGTGTGTGTGTGTGTGTGTGTGTGTGTGTGTGTTTTGACTGAAACTCCACTCCTTGACTGTGCTGATGAGCTGAAGCCCTGGCCTGCAGTCTCTGAGGGGATTAGCCCACTCAATGACACTAAATTACAGGGATCAACATCAGCTCAACACATCCACCGCTGTCTGTGCTGCTCTAACTGGATCACATTTGGATGAACAGCTGTAACTGTACATCTTGCTAAAACTGAGCAACATGAATGTATTAAGTTTATAAATAAATATAATAGGGGAAACTGCAGTATGTAGTGTTATCAACATTATCTAGATATCTCCAAACTTATCATATAGTATTGTTAGAAAAGGTTTTAATCACCAAAAGCCCCAACTTGGAAATCAACTATTTCCACACAGCACAAAAGATAACACAGACACATGATTCAAACGGCGCAGAGGCATTCAGTGACTGATACGGAAGAGCTACAATGCCTCTCCATCAATCATAATTCACCACTGCTGTACTCTATTGTTATAAACCACATTCATAGAATAACAAATAAGACCTTTGTGCAGTGACGCTTGAAATGGTAACCTTTAACTCCATGGACAGCTATCAAACACTAAGGTCTGTTCAGCAGCAGCGTACCTATCACTTACACATGTAAACAGTTGTCAAATCCTTAACAACGCACAGGTGCACATTTACAAATGACACATTTATTTGACAGATGTGGAAGTGTCAGCTATTTTATAAAGACAAAGAAAAATATTTTAGACATAAGGAAAACGTGAAAAAAGAAACAAAAAAGAAAATTGAGGGAACCCGTCAGATTCGACAGTCGCTGTCTTTGTGCTGGTCTTTCCTGTTTCTGTTTCACTCAGGTCAATGAAAACATAGAGAGCAGGATAAGAAAAACTATGTAAATAAGTGAAACTTATTTATATTGTGTAAATGTTCATGTTCAATCTACTGTTGACCGGACAAAGGAGAAAAGGTCTCAGAGACAGTTGTCTATAAATCCAGTCAGACACACAGTGTTGTTTGCCAGCCTAGAGGCCAAGCTGTAATGAGTGGACTGGTCATACAATGGTTACTGATAGTAGCACAACAGCAATCAGATAGCAGTGTCTGTTAAGCCTCTCCTTTGCTGCGCTATTAAACAGATTATTACATTATTCAAAGTGTTTGTCCTCCTCCCATGCGTAGATTACCAAGCAAGGCACACCCAGATAAGCCATCAGGTAGTCCAATACGTAACACAACGGCAGTAGTAAAAACAAAAGCCAAAGATTAAGACCTTTGGTGTTTGCTCCAAACACAGCTTTGCAAAGGAAAGCTTTGTCGCTGCACCCACCTCTAATGCCAGAAGAAACCGCAAGCTCCTGAACACCCTCAAATCATATTTAGACTTGTGTTACCAGCTTATTATGACTCATTATACAGATACAAGTTCCCTTCTTGTTGAGAATTCCCACCCGAGCTGATTGTGTTGTACATGCATGTCACTATGAAGAGATTAGGCTGAGTAATTATCTGCTGACAGGTTAACAATGCTCCAGAAAAATTAAAGTTATCAAAGTGGGCCACTTGACAGTTGACTTTGGATATGAATGACAGATTGTAGTGACATTACTTCACCTAATTAAAAAGGGATCTTTGCTTATACCACAAAATCAGAGAGATAAAATAAAGTTTAAATAATTCTGCAAATTATTTAAACAACTCTTAATAAAAACACTCTGTTTTATTGGTTTCTATTTAAAAAGGTGGTGCAAAAACACGGCAGAAGAAAATCCAGCAGCCCTCTATGAGTAAAGTCAGACATATTTGGAGTGTTTGCTCACTTTTAAAATCATGTCCATCTGCCCTCTCCATTGACCCAGCAGCTGAAGCCTACAAGACTAATGAAATAATCAAAGATTTCTGATACAGCGCACAAGACAAATACATCTGTATTTACACAGCTCTCTAGTCCAAACACAACACTGTCCAAGATCTAGTGCAAACAGTATTTATTTAGCATGATTGTTTGCTTTTTGTTCGGGCTCACAATAGGAAAGATAGCACTCTCTTTACTCATTTTTAAATACATTATGGCTATATGTTAAGTCATATCACCAAGGTTTCTTGGCTGAATTAGCCTCTTGGTTACACATGCTTTACTTCCCAGCAGCAACTTTTACAATGCCAGCTCGTTCACAGTGAGATATTAAACACAATAAATCCCACAAACAGAAAACCTACTTAAAGCTTGTATGACTACACACACAATCTTTATATTATAGTTCATATTAGATGTTTTGATTCATATTTATCAGTTCTGTATTCGATTCATAGAGTAAATAACAAAATACAATAATCATCATATAATAAATCATAATAAAATTATTTAAATTTTATATGAACATTTTGTATATTTGGAAACGTAAGTTATTATATTATATAGAACTTGATAGCGATGACAAACTATGGAGTTTAGGGGCAAATGGTTGTTTGTAAAGTAGATCGACTTACATGACAAAGTAGGTAACAGTCTGCTCTCTAGTGGTGAGATGTTAGAACAATAACCTCTAGAGCAGGTCCAACTGGATGTTAACATCTCATAATCATCTCATCACTCCTGTATCACCTTGACCATGCTATAAATAAGTTATTAGTTATGAGTGATTTTAATGAGAAATTGATTGGGAGGTGAGCCACTTACCAATTGGACTGATATCGAAAAAGTGTACCGGGGTCCGGAGGATGGCATTAAACATGCTGTTGTGTAGGGTTTGAGCCGAGCTCACCAGGACATTAAAGAAGACCAAGCTGCGAAGGAAGCCAAACACTACTGAAGTGGCTGTTAAACCTGACAAAAGCACAGGAAAAAAACACATCAACACACTACAATGCTATCCATGTGCCTGTTCCAAGGTTAGCTATGCATTTAAGGCGTCATTATTAAGCATGCTGTATGACACAAAAAACAGATATTCCACTTCAGCTTTTCCTTCAATCTTGTTTTTTTGTCTTGAATGCTATCACTTTGAATACAAAGTCTGAAGGAGTAAAGAGGCTGGGAGTCACAGGGAGACAGTCAGAGCAATCCAACAGCAGAGAACAAGAAAATCACTGCTATCTCCCTGTACAGCTGAGGCCCATGTACACATACACTGGGCCTTGAAGGCCTTGGGCCACAGCCAAAGAACTGTGGATCTGTTCACTGAATGGCTGGCGTATTCAAAGCCTCAGCTGTACACAAAAAGCAACATGCGCTCAGTGAGCTTCACCTGCGTAAACACCTAGGTACAGGTCAAGGTCCAGCTGCCGAGGGATGCTGCCATTGAGGTGCTCTGTCACATTGACGTGATTCTGTTCAGAGGCCCTGCAAATCAGCCACAAAAGAACCACAAATCCACAAGGACAAATAAACACAACGAAGAAAGAAAGCTGCAACATGAAGGCACTATACAAAACACATTCCTCCTATCCTGAAGCACAAGGTCAGTTTCAACAAGTGACCGATAATGCCAAGAAAAACAGTTTGGTTCAGTCGTTTTCTATTAAATCATGAACCATTTCCAGTACGACAACCACTGTCAGTTTGGCTTACAAAACCTGCTATTCCCCATTTTCTGCCTGCATTCATGTTTTTCACCGGATGCAAAAGAAACAAAATCTCACCAGCAAGCAAGCCACCAGTCCTGGAGCACAAACGTAATCTAAACAAACATAAAGACAAGCAAATACAGAAAACAATTATTAAAATAATGCCACAAATAACTACTTATGACAGCGATCCAATTATTCTTCCAATTATTACATCATTTGATTTTTTATAACATTCTCTTGAGATAAATGATGTGGGGTATTTTACTAAACTTATAGATAGAAAATGCACATCAAATGAATTGAAGAAATTGACTCACATGTGCTAGGGCATTGAGTAAAATGAGGATCAAGAGGACCAGGAAGTTGGCGCCTGCCCTGAAATACTTCACATACATATGCAGGCCGACGTTTCCTTCTGAGCGGCTTTCCTCCTCCAATGGTTGCACTACCTACAGACAGACACTAGTGTAAATGCCAGCCATCCAGCAACGCCTCATTCAGATCAGGCTGTAATGAGCAGCAGGGAAAAAGTGAGTACTTTCTGCCCTCTATTGGCTGGTAGAATGCACAACAAGCCTTTTTCCCATTAATGAGGTTAGACACATGCTTAAAGACTTAAAGTTTTAGTAATGTTTCAAATATGCCTACCACTGCAAGTGGCTCTGCTCCCTCAAACAAAGAGTACCGAGAGGAGGAGAGGGAGGACATAGAGGACAGTGAGTTGTCAGAGAGCGTATGGGGGCAGCGGGAGACAGACCCAGGGATGGGTGTCGTGCCCTGCCTATCCTCCTCCTGGCCCTCCTTCTCCTTAAGCAGGGAGGTGAAGTCTAGTCCAGAGCCCTGCAACTCACTGTAGGTCCCACATGCCACCATCTGACCCTGACAATGACAGAAATGAGATGCAGAACTCTCCAACACTGTCATTGGAATTTCAGCATCTGTAAATGACATGATAGTTAGGCAGAAGAACATGTGCCGCTGCCATTAGTACCTATGAAAGGAACACTGCCATACTTTTAAACTCTCCACGAAACACAAATTCCTCGAATGTGTTTCACACAGAATGTTCTTTAATGTCTTCAACCATGTTGGAAGAGGAGCAGAATTGTGGAAGATAGCAATGGTTGAGATATGAAAAATATTCAAGTAATACATAAGTGTCACATTTATGATATTATAAATTACTAGTCGACATATAAAAGTTAAGTCCTGCGCTTGTCCTGTACTGTGCACAGTGTGGTGTTTTTAATGTTACATTTTTACAGATTAAAGCTGTGATAAAAGCTGAAACTTTAGCCAAAATGAATGTTTGTGAGAGCAACAAGCAATTCTTTTTCAGTAAACAAACTCTGAAAACTTACTATACAATGCCTGTCCAGCACCAAACGACAGATAAACAAAGTTGTGCCGAAAGGTGGTAAAGGTGGAAACAATTGGTAAAGTTTTTGTTGTTTCCTTACATGCGAACTCTTACAAAAATAACTATAAACACACATGTGCACACACACACCTCCTTCAAGACAATGATTTGATCTGCAGCCTTCAGATACTGTAGCTGATGAGTAACCAGAATACGAGGCTTCTTCCTCAAAAGTCCACAAATGCACCTGAAGAAAACAAATATTTTTTACGCACAAATGAAATGCTAACATAATAAATAACGCGTAATTAACTGATCTGCACTTTCCACTAGATTTTGTCATGGAAAACAATGGTGAGATGTTAATAACAATACAATAATAAAGACTTACTCTTCAAAGAGGTGCCTTCCCACTTCAGCATCCACGGCGCTGAGTGGGTCATCCAGCAAGTAGATATCTGCATCCCGATACACTGCTCTAAAAAATGCACACAGATGGAGGTTATCTCTGTCACTGCCACCAAAGTAAAAAGTAAATTACTGTATTAGTTATCCAGCACACCTTGCTAAGCTGACCCTTGCTTTCTGTCCTCCACTTAGGTTGGCCCCTCTGTCCCCGACCATTGTCAAGTCACCACCTGGCAAAAGGTCCATGTCCTGAATAGGGTCCAAATGCAACCTTTACCATTGACATTTCCACTGGTCTCACTGTGAGATAGATGAGCTAAAATATTTTTTTTAATACTAGACTACCCAGCATCATGTGATAATAAAGAATGTGACTACTTGTGATTCTCACTCTCTTGAGGGCGCAGGCTCTCAGGACTCTATCATACTTCTGAGGGTTGAGCTCTTTGCCAAAAAGGATGTTGCTTCGAATCGTACCAGGTAAAATCCAGGGCTGCTGAGAAGTGTATGTCAGCTCTCCTTTGACCTTGACCACACCACTTGACTGACTCAGTTCTCCTAGGATGGCACTGAGGAGTGAGGACTGACATGTACAAACATAGAACAAAAAGGTTTAAAGAACAATTTTGAAATTTTGGGAAATATGATTAATATCACTTACTTGCTGAGAGTTACATGAGAATATGGATACCACTGGAACGGAGTACGGAGCTTGAGCCAAGAGGCAATTAGCTTAGCCTAGCATAAAGACTAATGTTTACAAAGAAATTACAGCAAATAACTCCCAGGAAAACGACATATTGCCGTTTCTGTTTGTGTGGGAATTAAACAAACTACATACAACATGTTAATTAGGAAGCGTTAGAGGTGCTGTTAGGTTGCATTGCTCCATACTTACCACAAAGACACAAGAGAGATATCGATCATCTCATCTTACTCTTGACAGGAAAGCTAATTAGTATATTTCTCAAAAGACAATTAATTAATGGCATTTCAGTCAACTAAAAATAAATGAAGAAGGCAAATTTCTGCTGCCTGCATATAAGCTAACTATCCAGCTGCTAGCAGCCCATTGGCTTTAACAGGAATAGCACTATTATAATACTACAACCAGATTAATTAAAGGTAAATGTAAGGAATCTTGATATTTCATGTCTCCACTGTCAGTCAATTTAATGGCCCCAATGAATTTATTATATATAATAATGTACAACGGTTTTAGGCCGGTGTGGTACAAGTGTACCTAGACGAAATGCGTTTTTGAAGGCAAAGGGTGGTCAAATATTTATTTGACTTAGATTTTTCCTTTGTTCACTCACTTTGTATTTTGTTTACTGATAAACAATCTATTAACATGTCTATTTTTGAAAGCATTCTTACTTTACAGCATTTTTCACACCGCCCTAAGAGTTTTGCACTGTACTGTATTTTATAACTATTTTGAATTACTTAACATGTCTTAGGTTTATAATCATCTATAAACCTGAGACTAGAGAACAGACCTGACCTTTCCAGCTCCAACAGGTCCAATTATGGCCAGGAGCTGCTCTGGCCTCACGGTAAAAGACACGTTCTGTAAAGTTGGAGTCTCTAGCATCTGTAAGGAAAAGTAAGTGAAATGAAACACTGCCATGTAGTAACTATTCAGTAAGTCTTGTAATGTCTGGTTTACTTATATTGCTCAAAATCAAACCAGATTATAATTTGAAAAAGACCCCTTTTACCGAAACTAATTCTCACCTTATCCCAGTAGCATATTAAATCCTGAATATTCACCATACAGTCCTTCTCTGTTACAGTAAGCACCTGATGCTCAGGAGCAACTTCATCCAGCAGAAGAAAATTCTTACAAAAGAAACACATTCACAGTTTAAGTTTCCATATAGTCATCAAAACACACTGGTTTTAAATATGGCCTCTGTCTATGGTGTATTTACTTTAATCCTTCTTGTGCTGATGAGAGACTCAGAGACCTTCTCTATGGCAAGGGGAAAGAAGAGTGTGATGGTGAGTCTGACCGCACCGTAGAGGGAAACTGCCATAAACACTCTGCTAGCACTCAACGCGTTTCCTGTCAGAACGTAGATACAGACGGTGATGAAGATGATGATCTTGCTGGCGACAAAGAAAGACGCCATGTTCAAGCCACGCAGGTAGGAGCTTTTCATGATCTTGGAGATTTCCATTCTGCACAATAGCAAGACATGTCATCAGTAAATTCTGTTTTGCATACATTTTTGGCAGAATACAGAAGCATTTGTTCTTTCTATATTTGTTATCTAATGGGATATTACAAAAATGTCTATGAAATTTTGTCAAGTTTTAGTAATAGTATTCTGTGCTGCAGATATAAGAGATGTTAAAGTTATTGAACATAAACTTCTGTACTTACTGTATGAAAAAAGTCTGGATAACATCATCATACTCTTGTATCATAACTTTATCATTTTATCCAAAATTGCAACATGACATGAGCAGGAACTGATCTACCTTCTGACCTCATCCACCAATGCAGCGAAAGGCTTCTCCCACCCATACATCTTTATAACGCGGATTCCAGCGATGACTTCATTCATAGTGCGTATTCTATCATCTGTTAAGACTGCTGTTTCAGCCCTAAAACAGCAGACGCAAATTGCAGTAGTGGTACCAGTGCAACACACAACAGAAACCTTTCATAAGTGGAGACAACTGTTATCAATATTTGATAAATCTGGAGAATGACCTGAGATGAGAGAACAAGCGTCCGAACATAGTCTGTATTGGCATCAGGATAAAGAAGACGACCATTCCCGCAAGGCATGATGGGCCAATCACATACATCAACAATATTATTACAGTGGCTGCTTGTAGAGGACCAATCCACAAGAAATGCAAATATAAGGTGACCTGTAGGAAAACAATGAAGAGGAAAGAATAACTGAGGTGTGGTCTGTGTTATTGAATAAATAAGTCACACGTAAAAATACCAATTTCCCCCCGGGGACAGATAAAGATGATTGATTGATTGGTTGAATGATCGGTTGACTGAAATATCATGCAAACATAGACCCTTTCAGCTAATTACCTCATCAAATTTGTTGACATCATTGGACAAGAGGTTTACAATTTGTCCTGTGGTAGTTTTGGTCAGTGCTTCGCTGTTAAGACAAAGAGCCTTTGCAGAACAAAAATGTTAAATCAAGTCATACAAATCACAGAACTATGACAGAGGATGACATTTATACAGATGTCTGATAAGACTGACCTTCCGATAGATCATGTGGCACATGGCCACGCGAATCTTCATGCCTGCTCGCTGGACATGGTAGAAATAGAGATGATGAAGGACGGCCAGGCAAATGGTTGACAGGGAGATGGCTGCGGCATAGCTGTAGGCCTCATAGACTGCAGCTGTGTTGGTGGGGTCATAACTCTCAAAGTACTCAATTATCTTTCCAAGTAGCACCGGCTGAATGACTTTGATGACTTCCTGATGGAAAATTAGATGTAGAGATGAAAAGTGGATCTGCTCCATTAAAACAAAGCTTAATTCTTAATGCAGCATTGTTCTCTGTAGACATTTGGCGTCACTGTGAGATTCCGCTTTACCTCTATAAAGATGTATATTCCAATGAGTGAGTATGATCTCCAATAGCACTGAACAAGAACTTTGGCAAGTCCAGGGGGGCGCAGATCTTTTGCTGCCTTTTGAACCTCTCTGTTCCAGTACCTTTCAAAAGTAGAAAGAAAAGCAAAAGTTTCTCCCAGTCAGTAATCTACAATTAAGCACTGTTACTCACAACAATACTCATAACAAATGTTGTTATGAGTCTGCAGTTCTCCTCCCCGACCCCTTGTGTTCATGTTCTCTTCCCTCCCTGTGTCTCCTGTTAGTCTGTCTGTCTCTCTGTGTTGTCTGGGTGGGGTCTCACTCTGGGCCTGGCTCTCCACCTGCACACCTGATCCGCATTCCACTAATCAAGACACTGCAGTATATCAACCCGGTTCTTCACCTCACTCGTTGCCAGATCGTCAGCTTACCCCAGTGGTATTTGTGCTGCGGGCTACATGTCTCGAGTTGTATATTCTGTTTGTTTCTTGTGAGTTCAACTTACCTTGTCTCTCTGTGCTCAGGATCACTGCCTGCCTGGAGATTCTGCCACTGCCTCACCCAGCTCCCTGCCTGCCTGGAAATCCTGCCCCTGCCTCGCTCAACTCACTGCCCGCCTGGAAATCCACTCGCTGGTCTCCATTCCCTGGTCTGCCCTCTGCTCCGCTGTCACACCCCGTTTTTCAATAAACTTTAAATTCCTGGATTTAAACCTGCCCCGAGTCCACTCTTGAGTCCGTTCACCTAGTCTGCCATAACAACTGTTCCTCAAAAGAAATCACAAGAAAAATTCAGTTCTATATATTTTAAGAAGAATAATCCATTCTTATCATATTTGGCTTGTGTGGACGTTAATTGACCAAGTATGCAGTATACAGATTTTTTGTGTGTGGCTGTTTCCACACGATGGAGTGTTTACTGAGGTACTGTAATCAATTATCTGTAGCATTGCATCATAATCACAAAATAATGAGATTCTCTATTTTGAGCATTGGACTGAATGCTAACCGGATATGAATCACAAAGAAAGAGCTTTGCTTTGTTGCCCAGCTCTCTCTCAGTTTAATGCAAGCAAACCCCACATTTTCTGCAGCTACAGTATCTAACTATTGGTATGTGCCATTTTGAATGTTGATCACTCCTCAACTAGCCAGGTCAAATCTTTCTGGGATAGAACCCTGGCCATGTACGGGGGGGAGGTGCTGACATTTTCACCACGTCACACAGAACAGTATCATCTGTCAGCAACAGAGATGCCCATAATGTCACTAAACTGGGCATCCCAACAGTCCCTTAGTATCCTGTCTAAAAAACATAACAGGAGACGGCCTAAAGGTATATTTATGTTATAGTCGAGTACTCACAGTGAAATAAAGCTTGCCTTTATGCCAAGAAAGAAAATTAGCAGACCCTATTAGATGTAGTGGGATTAGTGTAAGGGGAGGAGCCTGCTCTCATGTGATAGTACTGTCTATATATAGGTGGGCTCACGTCCAAGCTCAAAGTCAACTCAGACACCAAACTCCCTCAAAGGGGGTGGTCTATCTAGACTGAGAGGTGCAGTGTAAAGGGACAGGACGGGAGTCTATGGTTGGCTACTACACACTTACTTGGATTTTCTCCCAGTGGGGAAGGGGGTCATTTCAATATGATTGCTGCTTATTATGAGAATAGAGCTCTGCCTGTTGTTTGTCCTATAGTACTTTTGAGTACATGGTAGTTTATTAGTCATTATACAGCACAAAGCAGCATAACAAAACAAATTTTGTAGTTCCTTCATGCTACACACACAACATATTAAGTGTAGGCCTATATTAAAATATGGTAACATTTAAAATAAAATAAAACAGTTTATACAGTTATTTACATAGGCTGGGTGAATGTAGACAGCAGCCACCAGATGATAATATGAAAGTTTCATCTTCATAATGAACAATCTGACATTTGGGAGTCCATCTTGACTGCGTTTGAGTCCACTTCCTCTCATCTTGCGCTCACAGCTCGGAACATGGACCGAGTGCTTGACCCGGGATGTTGATGGTGCAGGTCTCTGTAACGATGTGGGCACAACAGTCTCTGAATTCTGTTATCTGGTCAGTATGAGTCCCATTTTGTCCAGACCGGATCTCTAGGAGCAGAATTAAATCCAAGCTGGGCCAGCATGGCTCCTCTCCTGGCTTTCGAGTACTATCCCTTGCTCAAATGGTGGATCAGGCCTTGGAGAATTCCCCAAACAGTGTATCATTACACTTCAGGGGTACTTCAATCGCAATGACTATAAACCTTGAAGTTGCATGGATGTGAAGAATAAGAATGGCGCCTCTGATCTAAACCTGAGCAATGTGATGATGCTGGACATTTTTTGAGAGAAATCAGGGAAAATAATGCAAACAAGCTAAAGAGGTCTTCAGGGCGTTCAACCCTGCTGCTGACTCAGTTTGAACGCTGCATTGATGCTTGAAAGGTTGAATTTCAGTAAAATACATAACCTATGACTGTGGAGTGGGAGACTCGTGGAATCTAAGCCTATTTATATTGGTAGCGACTTCAGACTGTGGGAGAATTGCTGTGGATAAGCCTTTACTAATACATTATTCAGTGTCTTACCATTGCAGCTCCTCCCCAAGTCTATCGGATCCGTCCTCTGGGAGAACTTCATACATGTCATCTTCCTGCAACTTCCTCTTGTACCCGATTCTGAACAAGGGATTCAGCCAACTAAAGAAAAAGCATATAAAAGCACGTTCAGTAGTTGAAAATAATAAATAATTATTGAAATTATCTCCAAAGTGTCAACTTCTAAGAAACTATGAAAATCTTGTTTATTGAGAAAGCATGGAAAACCCCAACAAAAACAACAATTCATCAGTCCAGCTGCATGAGCTGCAACACTTGTTTTGTTAAGATATCATTTAGAGTAATATTTTTCCTACTATAGCAAACTGCATGAGTGTATTACTTTTTCTCATGTTCTTTACTTAAACACCTAATAATTCTTGATAAATTGCTATACAAATAAAGTTATTATTATAGTTTAATTTCAGTAGGCCTAAACGTTTAAACAGTTGTAATGGAGCACTGCTACTTATACCTTACTATTGGAAGAACAGTAACTTGCTATTTGAAGTTCCTCGTCATGCTCTTCATGCAAATCTACAATTAAACTGCAACTCTAGCTATTCTGATATAAGACTGCAAGAATCAACTTGTACCAAAAAGGCTGAGCTCTCTCTTCTACTTTGGAGCAGTGTGGTTTATGTTTATAAATGAAAGGATGCTCATGCAGCTTCCTGCTATCGCATCACGGGGGGACGGGGGACGGGGGACGGGACAGCCTGTCTGGTCTTGAGTGGCCACAGACAGTCACACAAGAGAGCTCTCCGTTCAATTAATGTCAAACACGGCTGTCGCTGTGAGGCCAGTTTTCTTACCAGAAGAAAATCTTGGAGAGAAGATTAGCTGAAGCCGACGGATTATCCTGCGCCTCCTTCCGCAGAGGTTCCATGCCCCCCAACAGTAAAAGGTACCTGAGGACTTTCTCCGCGGGCTATGTGGCAGAGGGATATCGATAAAGACTCAGAGGAGAGAGAAGAGCTGCAGCAAACTCCAGTGTATGTCAATAACGACATTCAAAACAGGATTACTACAGAACACGCGCAGCCGGTGTCAGGTGAGCTGGACGCTCCATAACCCCGCCCACCGCCTGGGGATTGGCTGACAGAAGTCTCAATCTCTTCATGAACTTTATGTCATGACCTCTGTGGCGTCTGACCCAAACAATCATTATTTACATCATCTTTAATGTGTACTGTGAGTGGGGAACTCATTAACACTAAAATGTATTTAATTAGCCTATCAAAAGTAAAAGTAGGGTATTCATGCAGTATTGACCCTTATATTGTTTAAGATTATACAGTATTATGTTAAATGTCAGGGACCAAACAGACAAGCAACGAGGAGAACAGGAGTTTTTTGAAAAACAGGGTTTTTATTTACCCCCAAAAAGTTGAACAATAGAAACCAAAAACTTAACATCTAGGCCTATAAAAGAGGTCAAGAAAACATAACTATACACAAAACAGGATATGAACTGAACAAACTGACCTAACTGAATGAGACACAAGGGAACATATATAGTGGCTTGGCGAAACCAATTTACACAAACAAAATGGACGACAAATACAACAACTACAAAGTAAAACAAACTAAACCCAAAATCCCCCTCCAATATGGCAGCCCATGGTACGGCTTGATTGGCAGGCCACTGGATAAAACAGTCCTCCACCCTTAGCCACACCTTTCTTCCCCCAGGACAGACTTCTCACCAACATTGTAACAAAAAAACAATGATTAATAGAACAGAAAATGTTTAGGCTACATAACCATACAATGTGAAAATGTGTGCACTCCATTTAAACAGTGTATGGCTAAAGAAAATAAATGTATATTATACCTGAAATAAACTATGTGATCTGTGTTTTGAAATCATGAATTGTGTGTGGTGTGGCTAACTGCAAAAATAACTTAACTTGTGTACTTAAAACATGGCTTGTGTGCGGTATTACCATTGCTGGCTGTTAACCTGTGTGGCTTAGGCCATCACACACACAGCCCTTCAGGACTCTCGCTGGAACTGCGAGAGAGGTAGTCAGCTGTGTTGTTATCCTTGCCAGGGATGTGCTTGATGATGAAGCAGAAAGGTTGTAGTGCCAGATACCACCGAGTAATCCGGCCATTGGTGTCCTTCATTCTTTCCATCCACTGAAGAGCTTTGTGGTCTGTCTCAAGGATGAATTCTCTGCCCAGGAGGTAATAACGGAAGGAGTCAAGAGCCCACTTGATAGCCAGTGCCTCCTTTTCCACCGTTGAATACCTAACCTCTCGGGGGAATATTTTCCGGCTGATGTAGGCAACTGGATGGCGGTCGTCTGGTGGTCCCTGGAGAAGCACCGCCCCCAGACCCCTGTTGGAAGCATATGTTTGCAGAATAAAATCATCATCAAAGTTTGAGCTGTAGAAAACTGGTTCCTTACTTAGTGATTGCTGGATGTCCTGGAAAGCCGCCACCGCCTCTTCTGTCCACCGGATCTGATTGGGACACCGAGATCCTGTCATGTCTGTGAGAAGAGCTGCCCTGGCAGAGAACTGTGGGATGAAGCGGTGATAGAAGCCTGCCATGCCCAAGAAAGACCGAAGTTGCCTCCTTGTGTGTTGCAACGAACATGACTCTATAGCCTGGATCTTATTGACTTGCGGCCCTATCACCCCATTTCCGATGATGAGGCCCAGGTACTCTGACTCTGCAGCGGCGAAGACACACTTGGAAGAATTTGTGGTCAGCCCGGCAGAGTGGAGACGATCCAAGACAGCATGCAGATGTTCCAAGTGCTCCTCCCAGGTGGTACTGTTAATGACAATGTCATCCAGATATGCAGCAGCAAAATCAGTGAAACCACACAATACCTGGTCCATGAGCCTCTGGAAGGTGGCTGAAGCCCCATGCAAACCAAATGGCATGACCGTAAACTGGAAAAGACCCCATGGAGTCCTGAAGGCTAGCTGTCAGCTCCCGTTGATCGCTTAGTGAGTGGAACCTGCCAGTAACCCTTACACAGATCTGTTGTGGTCAAGCACTATAGGCTACTACTAAATATAAAAATATATACTATTAGATTCGTAATTATCTATACATTCACTTGAGAGCAATTGAAACAATTTAAATGCTATTTAAAACAATTAATTTCATCTGTAGATGAATGAGCCAACAAAGTTCTGTTTAAACACATAAATGAAAGCTTCACATGGTTTTCATATACCTTTTCTTTTTTTTTTCTTCTTTTTGACTGTTTTAGCATTGTTTTGTGTAAAATGCACTGAATCCCACTTCCACTTAACAACAAATTGTTGGAAAACTTTGATGATTTTGAGATTTTCTTCATACACTGCATCATACTGTAGCCCCTACACATTTTCTGTGTTAAACAAACAGTACATATAATACGGAATGTTTATACCTGCTTGTTAGTATTTGTAAAAATGAATTTAAAAATAATACAAAAAAGTGGCAAACTGCCGCCAGATGTGCAATCTTTCTAACAGTGTCAAGTTTCAAATTCACACTGCAGCTGATTCAGTTCTCATCTCTTTTTATAAATGGCTTAATTTTCTCTAAATGTACCATTTTTTTAAGAAAAAAACACACTCTATGGGATGAGAACAAACTACATGTCCACATATGAGCTGACGATGATTAGTCATAAATTTTCTAAATTGTGTCCAAAAATAGATGAACCAGTAGCTGAACTGTCACATTTCTTCTTGTTTTAGAATTACTTATTACTCCTTTATTATTGTTAATGTTAACATAATACTTGGCCTTATTTTTAGACCAAAATGTGAAGGAACAAAAGGAGTATTTCAAATACTGCAGCTTACCAACATGGAACATGACTAACTGCCAGCTCGTGCTTTCTTTTTACTTTCAGACACTTCCACCCCTACTCAGGCAAGATGTCCTATCTGTAAATCATCTCTGTGAAACACATCTACAGTGTAAATGACCTGCCTAAAATGATTTTATGTCTTCTCATTTTCTTGAATTTAAAAGACTGTTTCTTAAATCTCCAAATGTCAGGCTTGCATATTCTGTTTTTTCTCAGTTGCCTGGCTGGCCTGGGTGCCATTATTGGTGCCACAGTGTCCAATGAATGGAGGGCCACCAGCCAGTCATCACAGCGACTTGGGTCCTTCAACCAACTGTCACTCATAGATGGTCAAGCCTGACAGCATTCTTGTGTCAGTGAAAATCAGATTGTCTTTGTTTTAAAAAATTACCCATGACATTTTATCTTTATCTTTTACTTTGATCATTGCTGAAATAATCACAAATGACTTGCCAGTTTGACAAATATTTCTTCAGATTTGTAACAAAAATAAAATCATGACACTGAAAAAAATAAGTAAATCATATTTTCTGTTCAAGATTCTGGCTCACGTTTTAACTGTGGTGAATGTGTAATCCTTTGCTGGAAATGTCAAACTGAGCACTTCTGAGTCACAGGCGCTTCTGAGGACAAGTGGAGAGGAAGTAAACAAAGACTAGTAGGCAGAAAGAGACCAGTAAAGAAGAAAATAATAGACTCCATTCAATTCAAATCATGGTGTTTTGTGAACCCTTTATCACCCACATTTTATCTATTGTAGTTGCATTATTAGCATTTTGCTTGCGTAAATTTTTGGCTATGCACCACCTGTTTCCAGTGCTATTGTTTTTAACCATGTGTTGACCAGTTATTTTTTATTAGCTTGTCATTTCATGGCTAGATTTTGTCACTAACTCATGTTATTTTGTTTACTTTTCTGGTCATTTTCCCATTTGCTAAACATATTTCATCTTGCCACAGTATTTAAAGCAGAATGGGTAGATACAATACAAAACATTATTTTCTCTATAAATGTACATAATTTAGAAACATGTTGTAATACGTTACAGTTTTTAAAAAAAGTTTTTAATGCAGTGCTTTGAGATTTTCAGCTTCATCTGATGGTGGCAGCAGTGTGTTGACAGACACGTTACATCCACTAGATGGGGCTCTAATTCACACTATAAAAGCTTAATAAATTCCTTGTTTGGATGTGATCTCCCTCTTGTTTACTTTTGTCTATGTTGCCCCAAATTTTTATTTATTTATTCTGTTCTCACTTAATCAACACGTTACAATGTAACAATGATGATGAAAGTTTGTTTCCCCTACCTGGCATCAGAGCGAGTGACATGCTGTTAATAAGTTATCTAAATCCTGCTTTTATAGGTTACTAGGAAGTTGAAGCATTGTTGTTGTTTAGGTGGCAGTGCAAGGTGACAGATAGAAGGTGACACATTCACCACTACATTACTGTATTTATTTCAGCCAGTACTGTAAAATACTGTACATATCCATGCCCCTTATATTCATATTTTAGATTTCTCTAATTTTAGATATTTCTGATTCTGATTATCTGTTCTGTATCTGTTGTTTCTCAATACTGTTTTCTTGAAACTGAAACAAATACTTGAGTAGTGAGTAACTTAAGAAAGTTACTCCCAAGTCTTTTATTTGATTTGGCTGTGACTGGAATAATTTCAGCTACTGATGGTCTTCCTCAGGTAAAAGTAAAGAAGCGAACATACACTTGTATTTATTTATTTATTTATATGTTCAAGTCACCATCTCCTTTTTAGATAACCTGCCACATATACAGTGCACCAGTTTTAGTTTTTTTATTAAACCCAGTATGTAGCTCTCAAGTGTGATTTCAAAATGCTACATTATAGTCTGTTAAGTATGTCAATAAGTAAATATTGTTGTCTCATATGGGCTGTAAGATTATTATTTAGCAAACAAATCAATTTAGGACATAATGCTTTAATGTTTCATAATTTAATGCCTATTGAATACGGGTGTGTTCACTTCTTCACTTTCACCTGAGGAAGATCATCTGTAGTTGAAACATTATCAGTCACATCCACATGAAATAAAATAAGTTTGTCTTGTTTTATGTGTGCATAATTTGGTCTCACTTCATCAGGCTGCACCAATGAGCATGACTAGTTAAATGCACACTCCTCATACACTGTTAGCTTGAATATTTACATTATGGCAGAAAGCAGGAGTAGGCTAGTATTTCTGAAGCATTAATTACTGTGTGTAGCTATGTATTAATAAACATATTAGCATTAACACAGCAGACACTGCTCTCTGTCAGCTCAGTGTCAGCACAGTTCTCTGATGTACTGACTTCACAGCAGTAGCCCGCTGTGCTGTGCACTAAACTTTTATCTGTAAATATCAGCTTCCAGTGTTATTTGAAAGCCATACTACCATGTTTTAGCTTCTGCAATCATTCTGCTCTGAAATGATTCATGTGGATGCTTGACTGCGGCAGGATAAGAAAGCACTGGCAGACTTGGGATCACCTGACCACCTGCCTCTTAACAGATCATGCATGAAATAGTATGCTAAATAAGAGTAGCAGGATTAATGTATCCAAATCTAACAGAATAAAAATAATGATGTTTCTCTAAAATTAACTCAGGTAAGTACAAATTTAATGCATTAAAACTACTCTGACAAGTACAATTTACTCAAAAAAGTTGCTTGAGTACATGTAATTGAGTAAATGTAACTTGTTACTACCCACCTCTGGCTAAAGTTTAGTTTGCAATTTATATCTGGTTCATACAATAACCAAAAAATACTGTATGTTTGATGCACGGTTAGTTTAATCTACCCCGGAGCAGGAACGCCAGAGACCACTAACAATACATTAACAATGTAACACAGCTCAGAATAAATACAATGCATTTCAAACATACAGTAAGTGCATTCACTTTTACTTAAGTAAAAATTTTAAATCCAAAAATACCACTTTTAGCAAAGTCTTTTTCCATTATGGTATCACTTCTTAACCAAATCATTAAAATATTACACTTCACGCCCATCACATTGTACTTTGGAATATGCCCACTCATAAAATGAACACATACACAAACACAGGGACAGTAAATGTGCATACAGCTGCTTTAATTTTAGACATCACTTTCTACATCCACAACTTTCAGTCCCCTCAGACCCCACCCATCATCTATGACTGGGAGTCACAGTGACTTGTACTGGTGTGAGAGGGTGCAACATGTTACAACAGACCATTGGCCACTTTAGGGCCAAACTCCTCCCTACAGAATATAACAGTCCGCAACACATTAACTATCAATCACAGCCTATCCATTGAACTTACCAGTGCAGTGTCTTGCTACATTTTAGTATAGAAGTGTGGAGGTGTCCTTTCTGCAGCATGAGCAGCATGGTTCAGGAGATCTTGGCCTTCGTTTTAACCACTTCTGGGTGGGTGCTGGTGTCTTCCACCTTGCCGACAGAGTACTGGAAGGTGTCTTCAATTGATGGATCAGTCATCACCACAGTTACCTTCTGGTCCAATCTGTGGAAGACATGTGTCACTGATTCAACTGGAGTCACCAGCTGCAAAGAGTTTCCCTCGTTGCTGGCATTGGATGGTCAGCTCTTTTTTCCCTTCTTCCTGGATGCTTGGTTTTTCTGCCTTTGACCTTTTTCATGGTTCTGGTCAATCCTGTTGAATTTATCTTATGTTTTGTGTTTGTTTTTCAATGAAAGAGCACATGTTAATGAATTTTAGTTTTAGCCTGTTTTAGACTAGGGTTGTGTCATCCTGAGTTTGTAAGAGCCTTATAAGTGTTCAACCTTAGCTCCTGTCTCTTTTGCTAAATTCAAATTGAAGCTGCAGCTACTTAGAACTAATAGATATCTTACAGCCTAATGTAAGTCTTCAAGGAACAACTCATTTACCTCCAAATATGTCAATGTTTAGCCTCAGTTCTTGGAGCTTGAAAGTGATAAAGGGTGATTTACTGGGAACCTCAGGCAGTTTCTCCCACAGCTGACTAGTTTCAGTGGTTAACTACCAAGGTAATATTTGCCTCAAAAAAAAAAAAAGGTTTCCCACCAAGACAATCACCACTGAGAACAATTATGGTCACTTATGACAAATTTAATTTCTTGCTTAATGTGTAAATTTGTCACAAGCTCAATAACTCATTGACCTTCCGGTGTGCAGATGTAAGAGAAAAACCACAGAATGGAGCCACAGAACGTAACACTCTTTTGACTGCATGTAAGCTGACCTCTATTTTATGTTTGTAGGCTACATCCAAGCATGCAGGGGACTGATGATTGCAGCCGTTTGTCTGGGGTTTTTCGGTTCTATAGTTGCCCTTGTTGGAATGAAATGCACCAAAATTGGAGGAACTGACAAAAATAAAGCCAACATTGCCTGCTTTGCCGGTGTCATTTTCATTCTTAGTGGTAAGTATAGATGAAGTGTATGTGTAACATCTGTGTAATTATCTGTGTGATCTAATTAGATTCCATTTTTTTCTTGTTCTTCTCAGGCATCTGCTCACTCTCATCGTGCTCCCTCTATGCACACCGGATAACATCAGAATTTTTCGACCCAATGTTTTTAGCACAGAAGTAAGAACTGTGTGACTGAAGAGGCACAGTGTTTTAATGTAACTCAACTAATTAAGATTTGTTTTAAATTTTTTTAAAAAAAATTTAAACTATTGGCTTTGTCTGCAGGTTTGAACTGGGAGCTGCTCTCTTTATTGGCTGGGCAGGTTCTATACTCTGTTTGCTTGGAGGCATCATGTTTTGTTTCTCCATCGCAGATTCTTTTACCAAAAGGTTTGTATGAGTAACACATAGTATGTTATACAGAAGATACATGTTGTAAATAGGCCAACCTGCTGTATGAATCAATTTTGTTGACTCATATTGATTTGTGAAGATGAACATGTGTTCTGTCTTTTTTTTACAGCCACAGTCAGGCAAACTATATCTACAAAGGTGCTGCTTCGCATTCTCATATCTCCTCCTACCCGAGAGGGCAGGCAAAGTCTGTAAACCAGAGGCCGCCTCCAGACTACAACAACTCCTCCAGGACGCAGCACTTTGATAAGAATGCATATGTGTGAGGGATGTCAATATAAAACACTTTCAGTTGAGGCCACTGGTGAGTCTTAAAACATATACTGTATACTAAGCCTAAAAGATATAGCACACTGTATAAAACTTGGAGGTTTCTGTTTAACAGCAGCAGAAGTTTCTGATCTGATCTGTGGCTCACCAGGAATTAAAATTTACATGTGTCTTCCAGGGGTACAAATTTAAAGTTGTATGACACAGTTTACTCTCTGATCTTGGGGAATTATATTTTCTGTAAAGCAGACAACTTCTGTTTGTGTGTTATACATATTAATGTTCATGGGATGTTGGGATTAATTTAATAAACAGAAAAAATAAAACATTTGGTCCAAAATGGACTTTTCTAAAAGATCTTTTTTCATGTGTAATATTTTGCAAGAAGTTTTAGTTGTATTTTTAACTGTAAGTAACCTGCTTATGTTGTTAATCTTTAATGACAATATTTAAAACTATGTCAAACACAGATTCTCTTGTTTTCCATAACACAGCCATTAACTATGACTTTGTAATAAGCAAACTTGAAGAAGGTCAAAAGAGGGTGCATCCTTCTGTAAGTAGTGAAATGTGTGGCGTGTGATGACAAGGCTCTGTTTTTTTTAAGCAGAGTATATGACTAGAAATAAAACAGATGAAAACGTTTGCAATTCAGCCGATTGCGTTTTGCTTGTTTTGTCAGCAGATGATGTCATATCTGCTCCTCGGTGGTCACAGCAGGTCTGAAGAGGGCAGCAGTTTTGGGTTGTGATCCCTTAAGAAAATCAGTGAGAGTCAGCCTTTTCACTTTAGTGGTACTTCAGCCTTTTAATACGTTACGGTTGACAAATATAATGGTCTGTACTTGTATAATAGCACCTTTACAGTCTTTCTGAACACTCAAACGCTTTTACACTAAATCGCGTTCACCCCATTCACACGCTTAGGTGCCTCTGCCCTCACTAACAGAAATATACATTCACACACCAGTGGCACAGCCATCAGGAGCGAATTGAGGTTCAGTATCTTGCCCAAGGATACTTCAACATGCAGAAGGGGAGAGCCAGGGATTGAACCACCGACCTTCTGACAAGTGGATGACCTCTCATCCACCGGAGTCACAGCCACCCACAATATGTATTTACTTTAACTGTAAATATAGATTAAATGAATTTTTGCATTTCACAAGGGATGGAAACCTGAAAAGGTGGGCAGAGGTAGTGTGGGTGGCACACTCCAGAAAGTTTACAGTAAACATATCACACAATTGTACTGAGCCCTCATCAACACTAATGGCACATGGCACAGACACAGTCATCCTTGTCCACATTAAACAAGAAATGACTCATCATCCTGCTTACCACTGAGTAGACGTTTAGTGTGTTTTGTGCTTCTACCTGGTTTCCTTTAGTGATTTCAGAAATGAATAACCGTCTCATCCAAATATCTGGCTTCTTGATTTCATCACTGGGGTGGGTGTTTGTGATGTGCACCTTGGCCATGGACAACTGGAGGGTCGCCCAAATAGGAGGAGAAGGAGGCTCCTTTATCATCAAAGTGGCCTGGCAATGGTCCAACCTGTGGAAGGACTGTTTTACCGACTCCGCATCTATCACTAACTGCAGATATTTCCCTGTGATCTGGAGAATCACTCGTAAGTGCTCCACATGTTAATACCTCAGCAATGATGTCTCTAATACTGACTCTGTTAGCCTTTTACTCTGAATGAACAGAAAGATTTTCAGTCCTGTAATTCAACAGGTAAGAGACAGTGACACAGAGTTTACACCAGTGCGTAAAGTGTGATTATGTAACATAGTCTTTGTTTTAGAAATTAAAAAAACTCAAAATCATGAGCAATAAAATGCCCCCTTGTTAATTTCAATACACTCTAACTGGTCAGTAGCTTGTGGTTGCTAATATTAGCTAACTTTAGGTAGATACTGTCATGTAAGTAAAATTACTGGGTCAGTTAGTTGATTTTATTATTCTTCTTTAACATTATCCCATTATTGTCACTTCCCGTGGCCACAGTGAAAAGAGCAAACGCCACACTGACTCACTTTAAGGTGCGAGGAGAACCCAATAAAATGAAGATTTGAGAAACATTCTGTGTTTTATTGCAATTTAACCAGAGTTGATAGGAGAGGTTTGGTGTGCTCACACAAAAAACATAAAGTGACCAACTTAGCAGCAAAAGTAAATTAGGTAATAATATTAAATAATTAAAACAAGCATTCCCATGGGGATGCTATGACCAGCTCTGTATACCATTGTATACATGTCCGTACAGTGTTTTACAGACAGGAATAATAATAGCAGCACATTGATGATTTAAATCTTTGTTACTGCTTTGTCAAAAAGGAGAAAACAACTCAATAAATATTGACTTCTACAGAAAACACCATACTACATCAATAAATACTACATCAAGGCATTAGAATGTTTTACATTTCAATATACTTTATACTCCATAACCTCAATCTAATGCCTTGATGTACAGTTACTGTGCATGTTAAGGTTTTCCACTCTGAATTAATGAAACATGTGAAGTCTTGTGGTTCAACAGGTAGAGTGAGAGTGTGGTCAAGCAGACCAAAACAAATTATCGACAAGCAAAAAGCTAAATATATTGAATACTGGAAAGAAACGACCCAAACAAAAAATAAATTACAATGTTATCTTCAAAGAGAATTCACACTGGCAAATTACCTAAACTAAGAAAAGTGTTGACTACATACAGACTGGCCATAAAAGGGTCGCCACAGACAGAGCTGCCTGTCAGAAGAGGAGAGACTCTGCTCCCAGCGCTCCCTGCACTTTCTAACCTCATGTCCTTAAAGTAAAACCTCAAGAGAAAAAAACACTTCCCAAATGTTTCTCAAATGTACTCCCAATTAAAATTCAAATCAGACACACAGAAACTCCCCATACTACCATGTTTAGCTTAACCAAATGCCAAATCATGGCAGCAAAATATATCACTTCATGCCATGAACTGAGGAGAACCAGGGGAAACACAGGCTAGAGTAATAAATAAATTAAATCATTCTACTGTAACATTATTTTTATTGTTTGCTATTCTGGTAATTGTTCCTTGGAAAAATGCTACTGCTTGTCAAAAAGCAAGGCATATTTTCAATACAAGATACATTTTGTGTTTAGTTAGTTTTATTTATTTTAAAATGTAATTTTATTGTTTATAAGATGTATATACATTTTTATTGTTTAAATGTGAATTTTGTTGTTTGTATGTGAATTTTTGACACCAGAGCTTAACCTGTGAAAAAAGGGTGGACACAACAAAACAAGTTTTTTATAGGTTACTGTTCGTTATTACAACTTTGTCAAAAGGGTGACTAATAGACCACATAGACTATAATCTATAGAGACTATCATTTTTGAAGCTGTAGCCTACTTTATATTTTTGTGTTGCCTCGCATTACATTGTAAGTTTTGACTTCACTCAGATCAGCTTCTTTTCTTTCTGAGACAAACCAAAAGCTGTCCAAGAAATAGATTTTTTTCTGTTGAGAAGGTTCTTTTTTTTCTAGCCTGAACTATTTTTTTATATTTCTATATATTTCTTTCTGTTACTCGCAGCTTACCTCCAGGGAGTACAAGGATTGCTATTAGGCGGGATAACTCTTGGATTCTTTGGTGTAGTACTTTGCTTTGTTGGGATGGAGTGCACTTACATTGGTGGTGCTGATAAAACCAAGGACAAAGTCCTTTTTGCAGGAGCAGTGTTTCATTGCGCTGGAGGTGAGTACAGAGCACACACGGGTTTGTCTCTGTAAATGACAAAATGTTTTGCCCTCATTATTTCTTGGTATCAATGGAAAAACCTCTGCACAGGTGTGTCAGATGTGTCTGGCTACTGCTTGTACTACAACTCAATTGTCAGAACAACCTTTACTCAAACTGCAGGACAAGGAATATTACGGTACATTTTGCCACACTGATCTACATCACCATGTAGTTTAAATCTGATATATTTAAAGTATGTATGATGTGTCATTTCTAATTACATTTTAATTTATTCCAGATATGAACTAGGACCTCCCATATTTGTAGGATTGGTGGGATGTCTTTTCATCCTTTTAGGGGCTGTGCTTTACACTGTGACGGTCTACCAAGTAATCTGCCCTGAAAGGTATTCAAATTCCTCCATCTTCACCCTTTTTCCTGTGGCTGCTGAATTCATTCCACATCACTGACTTTGGCAATGTTTTGATCTTACAGTGAAGTGGTATATGCCCATGGAGGAGGAACATACATGACCCCTCGCTCCAGAGGAAGCGCATACTACAGACCCCCCAGGCTGCATGAATCTTATATGAGCTCCAGACGATCCAGCAGCTCCAAGAGCTCAAAGCTCTCTCAGACAACACCGACGAAAATCTCAGAAAGAGATGCATTTGTGTAGTTGCTATGTAGTTTGTAGTTATTTGTTGTTTTTTTTCATGCTCTTCATTTCATGCTATTTAGAAAAAACAAGTCATACTCTACATGTATGATATACTGTCTTGTGTTGACTCATAATTTGCTGACTTTATTGTGATGTAACCAAAGCACATATTACAAATACGATTGTCACTGGAATATGTATAACTGGATATATAGTAATTTCTTTTAAAACCTTTGTACCTATAAAGAAAATATTGTGTTTGTCCACTTATTTTCCTTAAATGAAGATAGTGTAATACTTAGTCCTTATTTTGCACCAGTATATCCTCAGTTCAAACCTTTTACATAAATAGAAGTGTGTTATTCTGTCAACATCATCAATGCGGAACAAAATAGTGCCATCATTACTAAATGGTACACAACACTGAACCCATGCTGGTGGGATCATGTGTGCCATAACAACAACAAACACGAGTAAGTGACCTTGACATAATATGAAACAAAAAGGCAAACCATGTGATGATGTACACAAAGCAAGATCGGCCTCCTGTGTGTGTGTATAAGTGTGTGTTTCCGTATCTGAGGAGAGGCAGCGCCGGACACACAGACGTCCCGCAGTTTGTGTTCAGGAGCAGTTGCGTGTTGCTTGGATTTGCCCTTTTCATCGTCTGGAAGCCCAACTTCTATAAGTCAACTTCCACTGCCATGAGTTACAGGACTGTGGCGATGTACGTGGAGATCGGATGCTTTGTGCTCTGTGTATCTGGATGGACCCTGGTCTGTTCCACCCTGCCCACAGAGATCTGGACTTGGTCCGAGGTCAGTACCATAGTATTGACCGCTTCAAACTACTACTCCAACCTGTGGAAGGATTGTGTATCTGATTCAACTGGAGTGTCTGACTGTAAGATAATTCCATCGATGCTTGCACTGAACCGTAAGTAAAATCATGCAAGACACTCACATCTTTTTAACTGCATCATAATTGTGTGCTCAAAACGGTTTTGCTGTTCTTGGACAGCGGGCATTCACCTGTGCCGTGCTCTCATCATCACTGCTATCATCCTGGCCTTCTTTGGATCAATTCTGGTCTTAGTAGGAATGAAGTGCACTAAGATCGGGGGATCAGAGATTGCTAATGCAAGAATAACCTTTGCTGGGGGGATGAACCACCTCGTCGGAGGTAAGAAGTTACACTGAGAGCAATTTTAAATAAGTCGCATTGCAATAAGGTATATGATTAATCTTAAACTGAATATGTGCCCATTGTCTCAGGGATGTGTTCTATGATTGCTTTCTCCTATTATGGAAACAAAATTGTTACAGAATTTCAAGACCCCAACTACAAAGGTCAGAAGTACGTAAAATTTTTAAGTGACATTGATAAAATATATACAACAAACAGACTTATTTTATGTATCAAAATGTATCCAATGATTCTTTAAAGGAAAAGCAGTGGATTAATGCATTATTCTTGTGTATTCTTACTACCAGGTATGAAATAGGCGTTGGTGTCTTTATCGGCTGGGGAGGCTCAACCTTACTTGTTGTTGGAGGCCTTATTTACAGTATCTTTGCAGGGAGGGAAGCGTGCTACTCAAAGTAAAATTACACTATTGTTACACAGACACCCCCCCCAGCATTTCTATTATTTGCTCCCCTCCACTTACAGAAAAAAACAATAAACATCCATTTCTTGAATCTAAACCTCACAGGTCTAAAAGATCCCCTGCCTACCAGTTCCCTGATACCTACACAATTGTTCCGACACAAAAGAGCATTGCGACTTCAGTTCGTACAGACATCAGTGGGAGCAGAAAATGGAGGACCAGCAGTTACAGCAGAGCCAGCAGCATCTCTGAAATCACCAGTGCCACCAAGACGTCAGCTACAAATGCATATGTGTGACTTCTTTTTCAAACAGGTGGAAAATATTGTGATTCCGCCCTTCATGAATATTCTGTGTGGTCCTATGTTTTCTTTTTACATTTTCAATAATTGCTTGAGCGTTAACAGTAGCTTTTAGAATAGACATTATAGTGTGACAATGAGCCAGCATGCACAATACCAAGACCCTAAAACTGAAATGGAGTTAAATGGAATTCAGCCATCATTTATTCCAACTTTTCACATAACATGGATAATAAAATGATACAATGAAATCATGCAAAAGATGACATTAAGGGCACTTAACATGTTTATAATTTATTTAAATGTTTAGTTGTTGCTTTAGCCATTAATGTTTTCAATGACACTATTTTGTCTGAATATATGAAATATTATGCATTCTTGCTCTGACCTGAAGCAAAAATGATTGACTACATATAGAAATGTAGAACGATCTATACGTGAAGACAGAACTATTAATGTCAGGGCCTTATGTTGAGTTACCTTGTAAGATATGCATGTCTAGATTAATTTGCTTGCAGGCTGCTTTGAAGGTTGCATGCTTTCAACAATGTCAGATGTTTCTGAAATTTGCAATAAAACAAGATTTTGATACTGAGTCATAACAGAAAGAATGGCTGAGTCACTGGCAAAACAAAAAAGATTCTCACAACATGGTTATGAGCTGAATGAATGTAAGGATGTTCATGTGATTCATTGTATCTTTAATCCTCTCTAATTGTACTGAGTTTTACCACAGACATTCATGGAAATGATCCTTATTGGATGTGTCACATTTAGTGCAACCGGGGAACAGGGAAACAAGGGAGTGGATCCAGACGCAGACTCAGAAGGCAAAGCAGCTGCAATTCACATGTTTTAATAATCAAACAAAAAGGTGTGCAAGCAGTCCAAAAGACAAACAAATCCAAAGAGGGGAAAAGAAATCCACATGGTCCGAAAATTCAGGCAGAATAGTGTTTGAAGTGGGCCGGTACGCACCGATACACGGTAGGCTACTCTCCTCTGCTCTCCAGAATGCAGGAAGTATATAATGCTCAAAGTCGTTAATGTTATAGTATTTACTATTTTCACCTTAAGGTTGAGGATAGTGCGGGCGGGGTGGGTGGGGGAGTACTGGCACCTATTTTTGTCCACTTCAAGCACTGCCAAAGACCACAGGAAAACACTAAGAACAGGCTGGTACACTTGACAAGTTGACACAGAAAAGGGGAGCACACAGACTTAAATACACAAGTGAGGGGAGGATAGCTATACAGGTAAAACTAATTAGGAAAGGGCAGACATTCAAAATGGGCAGGAAAGCACACAAAGTCAGGAAGCAAATACACATGAGGAAGGATTCTTAAACAGGAAATAACAAAAAATGATAAGGTCATAAAACTACACAAAAGCACATAAAGCAGTTAATACTAGCTCCACCTTGACTAACTCCAATATTATGATACTGCCTGCATGTTAATAATAATAATGATCCAGGGTTATTCTGCATGGAGTAATTAACTTTGGATAATGTAACTACATTTTATTGCTTATTACATTGTGGAATTGTAACTTTGACTATTTCTTCCACCACTGTTAAATGTCTGCTCCCTAATATACAACTCTCATAAGCACCTTACTTCAAGGTATACTGTCTTTAGGCTACATTTGACACTATAATGATTTCTGCTGCTACTGTATTCTTGCCAAAGTAACATTTTGATGGCAGGACCTTTTTGTGGCAATGATATACATGACTAGATGATTGAAATACCTTTTCCACCACTTATTCTCTCTCTCTCTCTCTCTCTCACACACACACACACACACACACACACACACACGCACAGTCATAGTCATGATGTGTTGTGCTGCCGTGGCTCCTCTCTGTTGAACCACTGGAGATGGGCGGGGTTTTCCAACAATCCAGCCAATCACAGTCACCCACGACCGGTCGGTTGAGTTCGCTGCTCGGTTGTGACTGGGAAAAGAGGAGCAATGCTGTTGACTAGTAGCAAAGTCTCTGCTAGCAGTCAACACATGGGACTGTTGAGAGTTAACGTTAAGTGAAACGTTAGTTAAAGTTACATCGGCTGACATTAGTGGGACAAAACGAGATAGGACTTGTCTGATGCAAATCTAACCATGGTTTCCATAGACCATGTTACTCAGAAGATACTGACTTACATCCCCTATGTTCTTGTTTTGATTGACATGAGATATGAAGGTAAGAAGCTGGCTCTAACGTTACTTTAGTAGGCAAGTTAATGACATCTACATATTTAACTTTACCATTAACAAAGTGAGAACTTCGGCCGAGGATAGCCTGCTTTTAGTTAGAGTAACGTTATATCGGTAATGTCAATGATAATGTTAGCTAGCGAAATTGACAACTGTTGGCTAACGTTAAGCTAGCTAACATTAAACAGTGGCAAAGAGGCAAAGCGTTTTAAATGATTAGTTTAAGTAACCATTCTTTTTTAGCCTACGTGTGATTAAAACGACGGCATGATACGTCTTTAGTAACGTTAGTGTCTTTTGTGTAAACTAACCAAACTTTAACTTAAAACATAACGTTAGTACGTAACATTAGCTAGCTTCACACTTAATATTCAAAGTCTGTCTAACCAACTTATACTGATTTGATTAAGCGTCACATGCTGCCGCCTGTCATTGGCATTGGTAACATCAATTAACTTGAATAAATTAGAAATTGAGTAATGTACTGTAGTGTGTTAATATTCTCAGTTTTGTGGTGGAATGTGTCACGATTGTGTGTGTTTTTCAGGAGTGAAATGTGGCAGGGATGGGAGTGTGGACAATCATATGGAGATGGGGAAGAAATTGCTTGCTGCTGGCCAGCTAGCTGATGCCCTCTCTCATTTCCATGCTGCTGTGGGTAAGTTGTAACTATACAATGGTTACCTTGTTTTCACGCTACAAAATACAATCCAGAAACCTTTATAGTCATGTTTTCTTTGTCCTTTTGTCAGATGGAGATCCCAAGAACTACATGGCCTACTACAGGAGAGCTACAGTATTTCTAGCAATGGGGAAGTCAAAGTCTGCACTGCCGGATTTAAGCAGAGTCATCGAACTCAAACCAGACTTCACATCTGTGAGTTGTTGGTCCTGAAGTAATTTATTTTCACACAGTTGGACACAGTGTTGCATCATAGGTCTGACAGAATTGTGTGAAAAACACATCTACACAAAAAACTGGAAGGTTCTGCCATATATGTATATATGGTATAAGTGCAAGTTTTATAGGGTAATTTTGGTATTTTTAAATCTAGGATCCATTTTCACATGTTTTGGGGTGCAGAAAAAAAGTCTCACTCAAGGACAGTCCTTGCTCTGGCATCTAGTGAGAAGCAAGTTGTTGCAGGAAGAAGCCAGTGGAAACATAAATCAGAGTTGCAGAGAGGAGTTTGTTGTGTACATAGACGAACTGCTTGCAAGACTTTATTTTCTAACTTTATTTCTAACATAACTCTCCAACTCTGGTTCTCCATCAGCGTGTTCCTGCATCAACTCACATCTCACTAGATTTCAAAATGTGAGAATTGTCCTTGAGTGAGACTTCTGTTTCTGGTTAAAAACAAGAGGTGTTACCGGATGTTACTCGTAGGGATCCTTTCCATGATGCTGTCAGACACCTGGTGTAAAAGTCTGAGCCTATAATTGGCAAAAAAGAAGCACTTCATGGGGTCATAATTTGAAGAGTGAAATTGCCCCGAAAGAATACGTTGCAGCCATTGAAGCTGGTTTGCGGCGGCCGGCTAAAGCCATCTACTACATGGATTATAAAACTTTTTGTACCTACTAGTCATTTAGACCCCAACATATGTAAGAAATTGTTTTTAAAAATGCCAAAATTACCCTTTAAGGCACAACTGTGCTGGGTCAGTTATGTCAGCTGTGTTGTCTATATTTGTAGTCATATGCAAAAAAAAGTCTCTCCTCCATCTCCTTAACAGGCACGGCTTCAGAGAGGAAACCTCCTTCTGAAGCAGGGGAGACTAGATGAAGCAGAGAGTGACTTTAAGAAGGTGGTAAGTATAGCAATATCCTGTTTAAACACTACAGCAACAAAACTGAGAGGGGTACCCCCTACTTTGTTAGAGAAGCAGAGTTCACCAGAAGGTGTCAGTGTTGTTCTGTAGCCTAGTTATGTAGTGAAACTAGACTGAAGCATGTATACTGGGTGTAATGTTTTTTCAATATGATTTAAAATAAAGACAATAGTTTAACTTATTAATAGTTTAATTGTTGTGAAGAATAATTATGTTTTTCTGTGTAGTGTGCACACTTAGTGACTTGTTTAACTATACTGTACAGTATACTTTAAACTATAAGGAAGACAGTAGGATAGGTTTTGTTATTTATGAGTGGATGGACTTAACAAAACTCTTTGAAGCCAAGTAGCAAGGAAGTTAAGACTGACATAAAATGTAAGAGATCCATAAGCCATCTTACAAGATATAGATAGTGAGTAAATTGGCAGTGAACTCTCATTTGGGCCTTCAGGGATCATTTTTAGGTGCTCGTTAAGGATTAAGACTGAAGCTCGCTAATGCATTTTCCATTAGAATTTCCATTTTACAGTGAAGTTTCACAACACTCCCAGAAGACATCAATGCCCTTGTTATATCTACTATTAGTTCCTAGATTCCATTTAAAGCTGCTGTGTTCTCAGGTGAGGTAATCATGCAGGGAAACATTATGTCCCTCTTCTATACGGGAATAGGATGTGAATGTCAAACAGTGTCACACTGTGCCAAGGGCATGTGGCAGGCCTGCAGCCTAATAGGCCTGTTTTGATCATTAGTGGCCTTGCCTTTACACTTCCTTTTATTGAACACACAGAAAACTAGTAAACAAGTGTTTAGCTTAGCTATTATATGTAGGATGAGGCTCAGTGGTATGTCCTGTATTGCTTTTTGGAAGGCTGTAATGAAATACCTCAGGTGGCTACTGTGAAAGAGTGCAATGTGCCACAGGCTGCTAAACTGTATGATTTTTAAATACAAGTTAAAGAGTGACTTTCTAGGAGTGACAAAGGAATAGAAAGTTTTTAAATTGCAAACAAGTGTGACGCCTTCCCCTTCCACATTCCCAACAGAGCCCAATGGGTATCTCAGCTTGAGCAGATTTACGTGGACAAAACCTTGGTGGTATAATGTCAAGGGATCTGGCCAGAGGTGCATGCTGTCTTGCTGTTTCAGCAGTTTGCAACGTTGGCCTAATGTAATGCATCATATTTATGCATTACACTCTTTCCTAAGATTAGCTAGCAGGAAACACTTAAAGGGTAGCTAGATCTATTTGTAAAGGATTAGCTGAGATTGCACTTGTGTATATGATGACCTCCATGATGAGGACGATTATGATGTAATTGGTTTAGGGAATGTTAAGGACTGCTCCTGCTGTGATAGCCCATACTTTAAGAACCTCATCAGAAATATAAATGCTCATACTGGAATGCCTTGGTGAAGGACTGAATCAAACTCGTGCTTTTTTTCCAGTTAGACAGCTTTAATCTTGACTCTTAAGTCTGCAGTGTATTACCTTGCCTTGCAATGTTCCAGCTGAAGTCCAACCCCAGCGACAAAGA